AATAACTGCCAATTGTGGAATAAATAATGAATACTAACCAAACAACTGTTCCTAACCCTGAACCAAAATCTAGGAGCGACTGAGGGGCAAAAGAGGAATCCTTCTTTTTTATCTGAAATGATTAAAGCAAATTGACTTTAAGGACACAACAAGTAAAGCTCTGACTCTGAACACATCCAGAAAAACACAACTCACAAATAACAAGATTTATTTTGTATTTTTCCGTGCGACAGCCCTGGTATGAACACGTCAGTAAGCCTTTGATCTTCTCCAATTGTTCCTTACCTCGTTCAAAGCTCTCTTCACTGCTGCATAGCCGCCAGCCAGCCGAGACGCCATGTAAACCACGCCCAGCTCTTCATCATACCTGCAACACAGAGAGGGAGCTGTGCAGGAACTTGTCTCAAAATCAAACAGGAGAAATCACCTCCTCCGACATTTAACAGCAGAGAGGGAAAACTGTCGCACACCTTATGTCCGTATTAGATACCCAAATAAGATTTTGAAATAAAAAATAAATATACAAACTTTATATAAGGCTAGTGTCAATATGATAAATTGAAATAAGTTGGCAATGTGCATTAGGTATATAAATAGTTTAAAATGTTTAATATTCGTCAGCATTGGAACAATTTATACTCATACTGTACAGTGAGTGTTTCTCAATATCGAGGACGCTTGCTTGGTAGCACATGTCTTCCGAGTCACTTGCTTCAGAGGCGAGGCAAGAATCCTTCCTAGCCTCGGAAAATGAAGAATGAAAATGAAGAATGGTGGAGCAGGCTAACAGGTGTGCGTCGTATGCGAGGCCCCGCCTTAAATGGAGCACTATTTCCGCCAAAGATTTGGAAATTGGTCCGTGCGCAAAGCATTGTGGGGATTTTAAGACCGCGGAGTCTACACATGTGCAGCCTCGAAATGTCTCGCTGCGAAGTACGCCGGCCTTGGTAGAATTCCAAGTATGCTGGACATTGGAACAGTCCTTCGGCGGCACTCGATGACGTAGTATGCTTGAAATAGTGGCTCTGGAGCAGCTTTACTCGACATTGAGAAACACCCACAGTCTTCTCTTGGGTAAAAAATGCTTATAAATGCTCCATTATAAGTAATTTAATCAATTAATGTTTTTTCTGATCACATTTCTCATTTTAATATATCTGGTATACATTATATATTTCTATAAAATTATTTGTAGATAAAAGCAAATAGTTACCTTGTGGTCTTCCAGTGATATGTGGTTTTTTTTAGCTCTGATAACACTTTTCTCCTGATGCGGTCTTCCAGTAGCTGTTCATCTATATCTGTAAAGTAGAAGCACATTTACTTCTCCAGCTGCTTCATTATATCTTTAAAATCCATTACTGGTATGACAACTACCTGCTTTCTTATCCATCTCTTTCTCCCAGAGTTCTTTCTCCAGTTTCACAGCTCTCTTCCTCAGAGATGACTCTTCCACGGGACTTTTCCTGCTCCACAGGAAGTTTGTGAGGCTGTGAGCTCTGTCAGCCAGCCGAGGCACCTCAGCTCCTACATGTGGAGAGATCAAAGAGTCACACAGTGCATCTATGGAAACAGTTGATATGCAAACTGATATAGCTATAGTTATAACCAGAGGTGGGAAGTAGTGGAGTACAAATACTTCGTTACTGTACTTAAGTATATTGTTCTGGTATCCGTACTTTACTCCACTACTTTTTACTTTTACTTCTTACATTTTTATCACAAATACCTGTACTTTCTACTTCTAACATTGTACCGCTTCAGGCGAGAGATACAGACTCGGTCTAGGGGAGTAAAGTGGGGGGAAATAACGTTTGTCCTTGGGCTGAGGCACAGAATTAATATAATGTATTGTTCTTCAAAGGGGTAGTATCTTAAAATCAAACAAATTAAACTATTTTTGATAGACAAATGCATTGTCTATAATATCAATCATAATTGAGAATTAGACGCATACTAGCTAACGTTCTTTGAATAAATCTTATCGAACTCGATTTGTTTTACTATTTTCTTAATATGATTACTCTGTATTTATATGCATGCACGGAACAGTCAGTGTTTATCTGGAAATATAGATTTATCGCTTCCTCAATAGATTCACTATACCAGAGGTGGGAAGTATTGAAGTACAAATACTTTGTTACTGTACTTAAGTACATTTTTCTGGTATCAGTACTTTACTCCACTACTTTTGACTTTTACTTCTTACATGTTGAACACAAATACCTGTACTTTCTACTTCTCACATGTTGAACACAAATACCTGTACTTTCCACTTCTTACATGTTGAACAGAAATACCTGTACTTTCTACTTCTTACATGTTGAACACAAATACCTGTACTTTCTACTTCTCACATGTTGAACTCAAATACCTGTACTTTCTACTTCTTACATGTTGAACACAAATACCTGTACTTTCTACTTCTTACATGTTGAACTCAAATACCTGTACTTTCTACTTCTCTCATTTTCCAAACAGCTGGTTCCTTTAGTCTGAATGTGTGTTTGATGCGTGATCATTATTCTTTAGAGTCATTGCGTGCCTATTGATTTGAACACGATCCGTGTATCCATCATTTCCTGGTCTTCTCTAAAGAAGAGGGACCAATGGAAACGTTGCCGTTGTTCAGCATGGAAACATTCATTAGCTAACAATGACTTTATTGTTCTATTAATATAAAGGGAGGTCAGGTACTCTTTAAAACAGCTGCTAGTTATGGGTACTTTTTACTGAAGTACATTTCAAAGCCCATACTTCTTTACTTTTACTTGAGTAAAGAAGTTTAGTCAGTACTTCTACTTTTACCAGAGTATTTTCAAACACGAGTATCTGTACTTCTACTTGAGTTAAGGATGTGTGTACTTTTGCCCTCTCTGATCATAACCTACTTTGAATGATGCACCGTGCAGCCATCTGGAGTTCTTCAGGGAGGCGCAGAGTCTTCAGGTTGGTCACACCTGGGTGATTCCTGTGGGGTTCTCCTTTGAGGAAATCCACCTGGGAATGCAGGTCTGCGGCTGCACTCATACCCTGAGGATTTTGATTTGATTTATTTTGAATGTGTAAAACAATAATGCAAAAAATAAATAATAATAATGAAATGAATTATTATACTATACAAACTTAAGCCGTGTCAAATTGATAAACAAAAATATTACTGACTCTAAATTATATATAAACAAATGATCTAAATAATTACACATTTGAAAAAAGGGTGGGAAGTAGTTTACACTTATTTAATCCCACCACTTCTCCCAAAAATTATTAACATATATATTTATTTTTTTCGTAAAGAAATACATTTGTTATTGAAACACAACAAAAACAACAAATAAATAAACAGATGAATAAACAAACAAATAAACAAACAAATACATACTATTTGGATGATAAGTAGAAATATTTTTTTCTTTACCACCTATTTGAGCTCTTGTTTGTTGCCTTGTGGGCAACAAACCTACTTATTGTCATAGATTAAAACAAAAATAATAGACAGACAAAACATGTAATTAGATGGTTTCAAAGCCAATGTTGTGTTTTTTATATAAAAACTGCAGTCCATCAAAGCAATTAAAAAATGTATTTTTGTAAACATACTCTTGAGATAACTTGTAATAATAAATTCATAGCCATCTTATCGAAAATGAACTTTTAACAGATATACAGAAATTCTGTATATGTATATTCCTGTTGCCATATATAAAAGATAAACTGCTTTCCATGTTTGCATTGTTTGATAATCACTTAATTCAGACTGAGATTCAGACATGTTCTGCAGGTAAACATTTACCAATACGTTTTTTATATATATTCAAGTACACTTCCGATTCAAAATCTAGAGTAGCAAAACAGTAAATCTATTGGAGATTGAAGGAATATGATATATACATTTATATTCATGTACACTTTACTCGTGTTTAAATAAAGCTGTGAACAAAGCTAAATTATAGGTGTGTGTTAAACCCAGTACTGATTGTAAAATCTTCTCTGCCTGACCTCCATGGTGAAGATGGTGCGTTCAATGACACTCACCCTGCACATCATCCTCAGGACAGCGGCCCTCTGATAAAGGACACACGCGCCATATCTCCTTGAAGCCATGTCTTTTGAGCCTGAAAGTTCAATTGTTGTGTTCAAATTGTTTTTATTGTATGTTCCATTCTTACTCGGATGAGCATGGAGGCACGTTAGGAGCTTTTCCGCCAACAAAATAATTCCGACTAAAGCTTTAAACGGAACCTTTGGTGCCGAATTTCTGTTCCGCGTGCTATAGGAACAAACAGGAGGGCCACTCCGCCCTCATTTATTATGGCTTAGTTTACTCCCCAAAGTTTCCAAAATACAAACTAAATATTGCCAAATCTTACTTTTTTGTTGAAGTGACAACATATAACATGATCTGTCCCTTTTCAGCTGGCTGGATCCGACCAATAGGATAACAAAAAGTCTATTAAATGGAGATGGACTTCATTGACGATATGAAGATGTAATGGATGTTGTCATTGTGTCATTTTTATTTGGAATACATTTATGATATGTGTGTTCTGTTTTATTCTCAACTTATATTTTATAATTTATACTTTATATTTTATACTTTTATTTATACATTTATTCATTTGTTCCAGTGTTTATTTATTCCTGTATTTCATTTCCACATGTATTCCTGTATTCATTTTTATTTTCTTGTGTTTATTTATTCCTGTATTTATTTCCACATTTATTTTATTCTACTTAAGGCACTTAATTGTTGCTGTAATAATGTACATTTCTTAGTCTTTGGGACGAATAAAATAACCGTATTCTGATGCTGATTGTCTCTATACCATGACCATGTTAACTGTAAACACTTTTGATAAAGGTGTACAGCGCATGCGCCAAGGTCCAAATAGTTTTCTGTTTTAACCGCGGAGTGATTCATCTTCGCACGATCTTTGGCACCGGCCAGGAAACATTGGTGGAGAAAGTTTACCGCCATCTCTGTTGTGTCCCTTTCTTACTGTACCTACTTCACTACCAGTTATTTTTCATAATCCACCATGAGGCGTACAAGAAGTTCCAGGAGTAAAACAAGTCAGGATGCAAAAGAAACAGAGGAAGTTCAGTCAAAAACAGGTTGGTGCTCTTTAGCCGTTTAAAGCTAACGTTAGCTGCTCCACCGACATCAGTTGGGGACAAGTCTGGGCAAAGGAGAGCAGGGGAATACATAATGTAATATATATATGGTTTATTCAGGATTTACTGTTGTTGCAAAGTATTTAGAAAACAACCAACTTTCTTCTCAGGGTGGCTACCATACATGTTACAAGTTGAGCTTGTTGGTAAAACCTGTTAATGTCCACCACTGTCAACAATCACACCACACGCATATGGTAGTTTTTAAAGGAGGGACAAAGTTACAACCTCCTGCCATACATATTTAGTTTATTGTCTTTTGTTCTATTATAAAGTGTTTTTTTTTTTAGTTAGGTGTAACATAAACCCTGTGACATTTCATGGGGCTTTGCAAAATATAGTATAGCTCTACACTAAATACATAATTGTTTAAGTATGTTTGTATTCATTGCTTTATCCATTGCTGAGTTTTCACTGGATTGGGTTGTGCTGAATATGTTTCAATGAAAATAAATGTCATTAAATGTTTGTTAATGTAATCAGTCCCAACTTTTTAAATGTAGATAGTAAGTCTACTAATCTTAAATATACGAATGTTGATCCACAATCCTTGGTAGGTATCACGTAGTTCCGAAGTATTTATTATTTAATCAAAACTGATTAATTTCATGTTTTTTATTTATTTAAATGATTGAACCATCTGTGCCTCTTTTCACTCTTTGGAAGTCCCATGTTACCAGAACTCAAAGTGTTGTTTAAAGGTTACCTATTATGCAAAATCCACTTGTTCATGTCTCTTCTACATCAACATGTGTCCCCTCTGTGGAAAGAGACTCTGAAAGTATCAGGAAAAAAGATTCTCTCTCTTTTTGATCCATTTCTATAAAAACCTGCCTGAAAATGAGCTGATCAGATTTTGGCTACTTTATGATAAGATCACGATTTCTTGGCTTGTGTAACCATTAGCCAATCACCAACCAAGGTACCCCCCCCCCCCCCCCCCCTTATCACCTGATACTCCTCCGAGCACCATTGTGTTCTTTGTAACCAAATCTCTCTCAGAGGGGCGTGGGGAGGGGCTCCTTATTCTCATCTAAAGTAACAGACAGAGAATCAGCACTTTGGAAACAGGGCTGAAACAGAGGGGATTATGGGTAATGCTGCAATGATCTGTTTGGTGTTTGGAGCCAAACACTTCAGAGACATGTTTTGTATATATCTGAGACCTGTAATATATTGATGAAAAACAGTACAATGGGTCCCCTTTAAGTTAGATGTTCACCACCCTACTCTGTGTTTGTTTGTGGTCAGTGTGGCAGTGGGAAGGAGACGAAGGACAGTGGGAACCATACTCTTCTTCAGCCTGTGCCTTGTTGGACTCAGCCGTCTCTTCAGGAGAAACCTCCGTCACTCTGGCTCTGGCCTCGGAGACGCCGTACGAAGTCGACCTGAAGAAAATGGTCCAGATAAATCCTGTCACCAAGTACAAGAGGAAGATTCGCTCTCACCCAGTGCAACCAGGTGTGTGTTGTGTTTCATCCGTCTGTAATATCCGTTTAACTGCACATTTTATTTGAAATTGTCGTCATTTCTTTCTGTCTCTGTCTTTGCTTGGACATATGCCATCAATGTGTGAGACTTTGCATTTAGTTAATAACTTTGTCATGTGGGTCTTAAGTCTCTTATCGTTTTTTAACGGTGTTCTACATCCAACAAATCCAACAAATTACCGTTATCTGATTTCACATTTCCTTAACCACTGTTTTATTTGATTTCCCCTAATGCTACTAATACAAAGATCCATGCAGTAGAAAGTGATAAAACATATTGTGTTTGTTATTGTAAATACATTTATAAAAATATACGTTTTACCAACGGTTTTTAAAATGTTTGTCTTATTGTAGAAGGTGTGAATGACGCTGGGGACTCGACGGGCCAAAATGGGACTTTAGTTGACGTTAAAGAGGAAGAGGCGGAGCAGCAACCTGTGGCTAAAAAGAAGAGAGGAGGAAAGAGTCAGGCAAAAAGTCAAAAGATGCCCAAAGAAGAAGTCAAAAGTGAAGGTAACGAGACATTTTGGCTTTTACATTGTTCCGGAAAGAGTGTGAATTATTCTTCCTAATTTTGCAAGGTCAAATTCAGCTTCTTTTATAAAATGTATCTGAAATCATTTGTATTGCCAAAATACTGACACTCTAAATCTAAAATCTAACTAAAAGCACAATATAGAAATATAAAAAAATCCTTAACAACCTTGATTATTTTATTTAATCGTTTATTTGGCTGGGACAATGCAGAGTAACACTTAAAACATTCAAATGTGTCAAGCGTAACAGTGCCAGATTTAGCTTTGAGCTCATTTCCATCCGCAGTCCCTCACATAAAAACATTTAAGAAAATTACATTTTACAAACATATCAAAAACAAAATACATGATATGTAAAAGGTGCAAGAGAGTACAATATAGCAGCAACGACATGTAAAGTGCGAGAGAGGATACAAGAGCTACCTAAAGTGCAAGAGGAGATACCCCTGTATTAAAGTGCATTTAGCGGTCTGTTTGGTTCTCATCCATTCTTTGAGTTGACCTTTGAAGCTATTGAGAGAGGGACAATCCCGTGTCTCAGTTGGGAGGCTGTTCCACAACGAGCTGCAGACTTCGCAGTCTCCTCTGGTTTGATTGATGTAAACAAACTGCCACTGGTTACATTATCCTTTAATCCATTACTATGTGATAGTGATGAGGTTGGTTACAAGATATATATATCAGTGAAAGTGTACAAATATTCTTATTAAATAATTATGGCGATTGTTTTGAAGTAGAAATGTGTGTCCTGTGAAGACACCAGAGCAACATATTTAAAGTAAGACCTTAGGGTTCAAATGGTTTACCTGTACTTCATCATTAATGGTTTCTCTCTGATCCTTGGATGCTGAACAGAGGTGGTGAGGACGGTGGTCATGAAGGGGAAAGCTCCAGTGGACATCGAATGTAAAGCCAAACTGGGAAAGGTAGTCGTCTCTGTCCCAGATATGAAACTCTTGATCCACATGTGGTCCTGCTGGTGGTTCAACACCTGCAGAAACTTCCGGTTACAGTTCCTACTGTGGACATGAAACCATTTGTGGTTTTACTATACATGACTGTGTCTTACTTTGCTTTTGAATGACTGGGCGGTTTACAGCTAAAGCACATGCTACAAAAAGTATCACTGCCGTTATTGATATTTACTTTCAGGAAAAATGCGTTTTGTACAAAAAATACAGTGTATTTTTCAGGAATAATATGTTTCTATTTCCCCGTTTACAAAATGCAGATAGGTGCAGTTGCCTTTTATTAAAATAAGTAACTGTTTAATTTCTTCTTCAGGCTTATGTGTACAGTGAAGGAAAGGATGTTTACGACGTGATGCTGAATCAGGTAAAATATTTAAATACTCTTTGATTTTCTCAAGTTTTTTGAGTATTAATAACTGACTAAAAATAGTAAGTTTTATAGATATTCCAATCACAAGTGTTTGCCCAGGTTTCAGGTTGGATTTGAGAGCTAAATATATTTGACTATGCCTCTTCCGTTTTATTCATTTCTGACTATTTTCTCCTGCAAAGTAAGGAATGTCCGTAAATAGATTTTCAGGCTTGCAGCAAATACCTTCTGTTTTATTTTGCAGACAAATCTCCAGTTCAACAACAACAAATACTACCTGATCCAGCTGTTGCAGGACGACAGCTCCAAGGCTTACAGTGTGTGGGCGAGATGGGGCAGAGGTACGTTTATAAGCCCTTTATTTTAAATATATTTAAGTATTTGCATTTACGCAGGGAATCAACACAAGCCTATAGATTGGAACTAACTGATTAATAACACTAAGATGGTTTCTCCATTGTTTTTCAGTGGGAAAAGTTGGTCAAAACAGTCTGACAGCGTGCGGTTCAGACCTGCTGAAAGCCAAAGATATCTTCAGGAAAAAGTGAGATAAAAAAATGTTTCCGATACATCTCATTAAATTAAGTTGAATACATTCTGACACTGTGTCGGATTCGCCCCACAGGTTTACAGACAAGACCAAGAATGAGTGGGAACACCGAGCAACCTTTGACAAAGTTGCGGGGAAATACGACATGGTCTACATGGACTACAGCACCAATGAAAAGGCAAACAACCAACAAGTTATATTTGTCTTAAATATCATCCATTATTACGTATACTAATGTAATTCACTGTTCCAGGAGGAGAACACGACTGTGGTGGATGCTGCACCCAGGAAGAGGATCTCCAAGCTGAATGAGAAGCTCCAGTCGCTCATGGAGCTGATCTGTGACATCAAAGCCATGGAGGAGTTTGTGCTGGAGATGAAGTTTGACACCAGGAAAGCTCCTCTGGGTCAGTCTGACAGAACCAACATCATAACAGAACTTTATCAGAATTTCCCCTGTCATTTCTACCAGTAACGTACCCACAATTCAATGTGATTACATTTTAAATAGAGCAAATACCAGAGGTGGGAAGCAGTGGAGTACAAATACTTTGTTACTGTGTTCTTAAGTACATGTTTCTGGTATCGGTACTTTACTCCACGACTTATTTTTCTGACGACTTTTTACTTTCTACTTCTCACATGTTGAACACAAATACCTGTACTTTCTACTTCTTACATGTTGAACTCAAATACCTGTACTTTCTACTTCTTACATGTTGAACACAAATACCTGTACTTTCTACTTCTTACATGTTGAACACAAATACCTGTACTTTCTACTTCTTACATGTTGAACACAAATACCTGTACTTTCTACTTCTTACATGTTGAACACAAATACCTGTACTTTCTACTTCTTACATGTTGAACACAAATAGCTGTACTTTCTACTTCTTACATGTTGAACACAAATACCTGTACTTTCTACTTCTTACATGTTGAACTCAAATACCTGTACTTTCTACTTCTTACATGTTGAACACAAATACCTGTACTTTCTACTTCTTACATGTTGAACACAAATACCTGAACTTTCTACTTCTTACATGTTGAACTCAAATACCTGTACTTTCTACTTCTTACATGTTGAACACAAATACCTGTACTTTCTACTTCTAACATGTTGAACTCAAATACCTGTACTTTCTACTTCTTACATGTTGAACACAAATACCTGTACTTTCTACTTCTAACATGTTGAACTCAAATACCTGTACTTTCTACTTCTTACATGTTGAATACAAATACCTGTACTTTCTACTTCTCAGATGTTGAACTCAAATACCTGTACTTTCTACTTCTTACATGTTGAACTCAAATACCTGTACTTTCTACTTCTTACATGTTGAACTCAAATACCTGTACTTTCTACTTCTTACATGTTGAACACAAATACCTGTACTTTCTACTTCTTACATGTTGAACCCAAATACCTGTACTTTCTACTTCTTACATGTTGAACTCAAATACCTGTACTTTCTACTTCTTACATGTTGAACTCAAATACCTGTACTTTCTACTTCTTACATGTTGAACACAAATACCTGTACTTTCTACTTCTTACATGTTGAACACAAATACCTGTACTTTCTACTTCTTACATGTTGAACTCAAATACCTGTACTTTCTACTTCTCACATGTTGAACCCAAATACCTGTACTTTCTACTTCTTACATGTTGAACACAAATACCTGTACTTTCTACTTCTTACATGTTGAACCCAAATACCTGTACTTTTCTACTTCTTACATGTTGAACTCAAATACCTGTACTTTCTACTTCTTACATGTTGAACTCAAATACCTGTACTTTCTACTTCTTACATGTTGAACTCAAATACCTGTACTTTCTACTTCTTACATGTTGAACTCAAATACCTGTACTTTCTACTTCTTACATGTTGAACTCAAATACCTGTACTTTCTACTTCTTACATGTTGAACACAAATACCTGTACTTTCTACTTCTCACATGTTGAACTCAAATACCTGTACTTTCTACTTCTTACATGTTGAACTCAAATACCTGTACTTTCTACTTCTTCCATGTTGAACTCAAATACCTGTACTTTCTACTTCTTACATGTTGAACTCAAATACCTGTACTTTCTACTTCTTACATGTTGAACACAAATACCTGTACTTTCTACTTCTCACATGTTGAACTCAAATACCTGTACTTTCTACTTCTTACATGTTGAACTCAAATACCTGTACTTTCTACTTCTTACATGTTGAACTCAAATACCTGTACTTTCTACTTCTTACATGTTGAACACAAATACCTGTACTTTCTACTTCTTACATGTTGAACTCAAATACCTGTACTTTCTACTTCTTACATGTTGAACTCAAATACCTGTACTTTCTACTTCTTACATGTTGAACTCAAATACCTGTACTTTCTACTTCTTACATGTTGAACCCAAATACCTGTACTTTCTACTTCTTACATGTTGAACTCAAATACCTGTACTTTCTACTTCTTACATGTTGAACTCAAATACCTGTACTTTCTACTTCTTACATGTTGAACTCAAATACCTGTACTTTCTACTTCTTACATGTTGAACTCAAATACCTGTACTTTCTACTTCTTACATGTTGAACTCAAATACCTGTACTTTCTACTTCTTACATGTTGAACTCAAATACCTGTACTTTCTACTTCTTACATGTTGAACTCAAATACCTGTACTTTCTACTTCTTACATGTTGAACACAAATACCTGTACTTTCTACTTCTTACATGTTGAACTCAAATACCTGTACTTTCTACTTCTTACATGTTGAACTCAAATACCTGTACTTTCTACTTCTTACATGTTGAACACAAATACCTGAACTTTCTACTTCTTACATGTTGAACTCAAATACCTGTACTTTCTACTTCTTACATGTTGAACCCAAATACCTGTACTTTCTACTTCTTACATGTTGAACTCAAATACCTGTACTTTCTACTTCTTACATGTTGAACCCAAATACCTGTACTTTCTACTTCTCACATGTTGAACACAAATACCTGTACTTTCTACTTCTCACATGTTGAACCCAAATACCTGTACTTTCTACTTCTTACATGTTGAACTCAAATACCTGTACTTTCTACTTCTTACATGTTGAACCCAAATACCTGTACTTTCTACTTCTTACATGTTGAACACAAATACCTGTACTTTCTACTTCTTACATGTTGAACTCAAATACCTGTACTTTCTACTTCTCACATGTTGAACACAAATACCTGTACTTTCTACTTCTCACATGTTGAACCCAAATACCTGTACTTTCTACTTCTTACATGTTGAACTCAAATACCTGTACTTTCTACTTCTTACATGTTGAACTCAAATACCTGTACTTTCTACTTCTTACATGTTGAACTCAAATACCTGTACTTTCTACTTCTTACATGTTGAACTCAAATACCTGTACTTTCTACTTCTCACATGTTGAACACAAATACCTGTACTTTCTACTTCTTACATGTTGAACTCAAATACCTGAACTTTCTACTTCTTACATGTTGAACTCAAATACCTGTACTTTCTACTTCTCACATGTTGAACACAAATACCTGTACTTTCTACTTCTTACATGTTGAACTCAAATACCTGTACTTTCTACTTCTTACATGTTGAACTCAAATACCTGTACTTTCTACTTCTTACATGTTGAACACAAATACCTGAACTTTCTACTTCTTACATGTTGAACTCAAATACCTGTACTTTCTACTTCTTACATGTTGAACACAAATACCTGTACTTTCTACTTCTTACATGTTGAACTCAAATACCTGTACTTTCTACTTCTTACATGTTGAACACAAATACCTGTACTTTCTACTTCTCACATGTTGAACACAAATACCTGAACTTTCTACTTCTTACATGTTGAACCCAAATACCTGTACTTTCTACTTCTTACATGTTGAACTCAAATACCTGTACTTTCTACTTCTTACATGTTGAACCCAAATACCTGTACTTTCTACTTCTTACATGTTGAACACAAATACCTGTACTTCTACTTCTTACATGTTGAACTCAAATACCTGTACTTTCTACTTCTTACATGTTGAACTCAAATACCTGTACTTTCTACTTCTTACATGTTGAACACAAATACCTGTACTTTCTACTTCTTACATGTTGAACTCAAATACCTGTACTTTCTACTTCTTACATGTTGAACTCAAATACCTGTACTTTCTACTTCTTACATGTTGAACTCAAATACCTGTACTTTCTACTTCTTACATGTTGAACCCAAATACCTGTACTTTCTACTTCTTACATGTTGAACACAAATACCTGTACTTTCTACTTCTTACATGTTGAACTCAAATACCTGTACTTTCTACTTCTTACATGTTGAACACAAATACCTGTACTTTCTACTTCTTACATGGTGAACTCAAATACCTGTACTTTCTACTTCTTACATGTTGAACTCAAATACCTGTACTTTCTACTTCTTACATGTTGAACTCAAATACCTGTACTTTCTACTTCTTACATGTTGAACTCAAATACCTGTACTTTCTACTTCTTACATGTTGAACCCAAATACCTGTACTTTCTACTTCTTACATGTTGAACTCAAATACCTGTACTTTCTACTTCTTACATGTTGAACTCAAATACCTGTACTTTCTACTTCTTACATGTTGAACACAAATACCTGTACTTTCTACTTCTTACATGTTGAACTCAAATATCTGTACTTTCTACTTCTCACATGTTGAACTCAAATACCTGTACTTTCTACTTCTTACATGTTGAACACAAATACCTGTACTTTCTACTTCTTACATGTTGAACTCAAATACCTGTACTTTCTACTTCTTACATGTTGAACTCAAATACCTGTACTTTCTACTTCTTACATGTTGAACTCAAATACCTGTACTTTCTACTTCTTACATGTTGAACACAAATACCTGTACTTTCTACTTCTTACATGTTGAACTCAAATACCTGTACTTTCTACTTCTTACATGTTGAACACAAATACCTGTACTTTCTACTTCTTACATGTTGAACTCAAATACCTGTACTTTCTACTTCTTACATGTTGAACACAAATACCTGTACTTTCTACTTCTTACATGTTGAACTCAAATACCTGTACTTTCTACTTCTCTCATTTTCCAAACAGCTGGTTCCTTTAGTCTGAATGTGTGTTTGATGCGTGATCATTATTCTTTAGAGTCATTGCGTGCCTATTGATTTGAACACGATCCGTGTATCCATCATTTCCTGGTCTTCTCTAAAGAAGAGGGACCAATGGAAACGTTGTCATGTTGCCGTTGTTCAGCATGGAAACATTCATTAGCTAACAATGACATTATTGTTCTATTAATATAAAGGGAGGTCAGGTACTCTTTAAAGCAGCTGCTAGTTATGGGTACTTTTTACTGAAGTACATTTCAAAGCCCTCTTTACTTTCACTTGAGTAAAGAAGTTTAGTCAGTACTTCTACTTTCACCAGAGTATTTTTAAACACGATTATCTGTACTTCTACTTGAGTAAAGGATGTGTGTACTTTTACCATCTCTGGGAAAATCACATTTAGAATAATATAAGCTGCTACTGTTTGATGCACTAAAACAGGTTTTGAGGAGATTCAGTTGTTGAAAGAGATCGCACTATCCAAATTATTAATGTCATTGACCGTTTTCTTTTATAATAATGACCAAATAATCTTAAAGCCGTCAAATAACGAGATGCAAACACTGACTGAAAGTGATCTACCTTAACTCCTCTTCTCTTCTTTCTGTGAGGAGCAAAACAAAAGTCTTAACGCAACCACTGAACAAGTGACCAGTATTTTCAAACCTTTCGTTGTTGTGCTTCATGTTTCCAATTATTATTATGTATGTATTTAACAAGTATCATGCATACAAATACATCAATCTCAGAAAAGAGAAGAGATGGATTATGCCACATTTGAGCTAAAAGTCAAAGGCAATCTCAAAATGTGTTTGTACACACAGAAAGATCGAAATACTGTTTCCCACAGTCCCGAGGTATAAAATAAAATGAAATAAAGGATATACGATATATATATAAATACCTATACCCCAACTTATTTACATAACTATATATACATACACATTATTGATGTGTGTCTTGTCTTTTTGTACGTGATTTTTGAGTCTGAAATAAAGATTGAATAAATTAAAATTAGCTATTAGCTCATTTCCATCTGCAGTCCTCAACAATTATAAAACGTGATTTAAGTACAGGTCAATAAAATAATACATAGTACAGTTCAAATCTAATATTTACAATACAGTTAAAATTGAAAAACTCAGATTACAGTGTAATTAATGTTGGTTAATATCAATATGTTTGCACCATCAGAGAACGAGTGACAGTCAGTACAGGTTTTAAGTTCAACTGGAAGAAAAGTCCAGTGTTTGAATTCTGTATCTTTCTTTCTGCAGGCAAGCTGACCTCAGAGCAGATCCGAGCAGGCTACATGGCGCTGAAGAAGATCGAGGAGTGTCTGAAGAAGAAAGGCAGCAGTCGTGATCTGCTGGAGGCGTGCAACCAGTTCTACACCCGCATCCCTCATGACTTTGGGTAGGGAACATGTGTTCAGCTTAAAGCCGCATTTCGACTACAGGTTTTAGCACGGCTCGCCATGGCTCGGTTCACCTCACTTTAAGCTGCGTTTCCATTACAGTTAGTAACAAGAGTAGTAACTATAGTAACCACTCAGTGTAGGCATGTTTTTCTACTGGAACCACTCCGGCCGTTGTGGTCCTTGACGGCTCTATAATCACTGCCATTTCGTTATGGATTTGTTGAAATTAGATATACTTGCTGACGGTAGCTCATCTGTTTTAAAAATGGTGCTTATGCGACGCTTGGGGACTGTTTGGCGCATAAATTGTGGCGATTCTCTCTGACCAATCAGCAGTCGGCAGTGTTTTGCGTCACTAGCTAAGCATATTTTCAGCTCGCTTGGAACCGAGCCGTTCTAAAACCCTGTAGTGGAAATGCACCTTTAGAGCGATGCACTCACGCTGTGGAGAAATGTGTGATTGACGGCAGGCAAACACTGATCTTTGAAACTAAATGAGATGTCATTCTCCAGGTTGAAAACTCCTCCAGTCATTCGTACAGAGGAGGAGCTGAAAGAAAAGATTTCCCTGTTGGAGGTAAAATGCTTCTCCATTCATTTATTTTATTTATGTCTTCCCTCAAATGTTTTGTCTATACCAGGGGGGTCCAAACTAAGGCCCGGGGTCCAGCTGCAGCCCCATGGTACATTTTTAATCGGCCCGCAGCAAATTCTAAAAGTATAATGGAATATAGCACACCTGAAACGTATTCTTCAATATATATATGTACACAGTATTCATGTGTTTATAAGCCCACTTTTCAAATAAATTCAGTAAATTCAAACATTTTCCAAAATGTGCATAACAAGCTTGAAACATACCCTTAACATTTCCCCTTATTGTAAGCAATCTGAGACTTCTGTTTTAAGGGTCGAGCTGCCAACACTTTTTGTAACAAAATAAATGAAGCCCTATGGAGTGCTGTTGTGACAACTTTTTACTTTTACTTCTTACATTTTGAACACCTCTACTTTCTACTTCTCTCATTTCCCAAACAGCTGGTTCCTTTAGTCTGAATGTGTGTTTGATGCGTGATCATTATTCTTTAGAGTCATTGCGTGCCTATTGATTTGAACACGATCCGTGTATCCATCATTTCCTGGTCTTCTCTAAAGAAGAGGGACCAATGGAAACGTTGTCATGTTGCCGTTGTTCAGCATGGAAACATTCATTAGCTAACAATGACATTATTGTTCTATTAATATAAAGGGAGGTCAGGTACTCTTTAAAACAGCTGCTAGTTATGGGTACTTTTTACTGAAGTACATTTCAAAGCCTCTTTACTTTGACTTGAGTAAAGAAGTTTCTTCTACTTCTACTTTTACCAGAGTATGTTTAAACACGAGTATCTGTACTCCTACTTGAGTAAAGGCTGTGTGTACTTTTGCCCTCTCTGTTTATGAGGCATTATACCTCACCTCTAGTGAGTGGCCCAGCTATTCGTGTATTTGTCTGTATCTGACCCTCAGTGAAAAATACAGTAATATCTGATGGTCTCTTTATTATTCCAGGCTCTGAGTGAAATTCAGATAGCGGTGAAGATGGTCCAGTCGAGTGGAGACAGTGATGAACATCCTGTGGACCGGCAGTACTCCTCGCTCCAGTGCCAGCTGCAGCCTCTGGACTCCGGCACCAACGAGTTCCAGGTCAGCGGTTAACACTTTTAACTTATAATGCAAAATGATAGAAAGATTCATGAGTCTGGACTTAACTGAATAAAACCCTTAAAGGAGATTCACGCCAAAACTTATTTTTACGTGAGCTTGTGAGGTCACTAGCATTCAGAATCAGACACACATCACATTACATTGCATTTAGCTGACGGTTTTATCCAAAGCGACTTACAATAAGTGCATTCGACCAAGAAGATACAAAGTTGAAGAAAACAGAATCATATAAGTGTAAGGGAAACTTCTGCAGCAACGGAGAGTCAGGACTCAGAGAGACACGAGGAGAGTTGGAGCTTTGATGTCAAACACTGGTAGTTTATTACAAGTCAACGGTCGGAGAATTCATATCACAAGTCACAGCAGCAAAATGTTCTGACTGCACGGGTGGGTTGTCATGTCAATTCTGATCAGCCTCGCATCTTGGTAGACCTTTTAACTAGTTTACAGAGAGTCAACCCACATATTGGGGGAAGGTATACGTGAACACCTGGAGACACTGAATCACTGATCTGACTCTTTGGATCTGTGACCGAGAGTTGACCGGTCATAAAACTGAGGCTAAGTGCTGGAGCACATTCCTTAAAGCTGGCGTCACAGGTCAGGGTTAGTGATACATGTCAACAGGCAATATGGTTAAATATCTTAGGAGTAAGGAAGAATTATTCTTTGACACTTAGGAGTAAGACAGAAATATTCCCTTACAATAAGTACATCAGGTTTCATAGAGCCAAGACATTTCAAGTGCTACTCAACTGGCTTTAGGTAAGCCAGTCCTTTGTTAGTATAAAAGTGCTTTGTTAGTAATTCTCTCGCTCGAAGTGGAGTCGAAAGAGATGAGTTTTCAGTTTGCGCCGGAAGGTGTGCAAGCTATCTGCTGTCCTGATGTCAATGGGGAGCTCATTCCACCATCTTGGAGCCAGGATAGCAAACCCACGTGTTGTTGCTGATGGGAACTTGGGTCCCCCTCGCAGCGAGGGCGCAACGAGTCGTTTGGCTGATGCAGAGCGGAGTGCACGCGCTGGGGTGTACGGTTTAACCATGTCCTGGATGTACGAAGGGCCAGATCCATTCGCAGCATGGTAAGCAAGTACCAGTGTCTTGAAGTGGATTCTAGCAGTTACCGGAAGCCAGTGGAGGGAGCGGAGGAGCGGAGTGGTGTGGGAAAATGTTGGAAGGTTGAAGACCAGACGAGCCGCTGCATTCTGGATGAGCTGCAGAGGTCGGATGGCACATGCAGGTAGACCAGCCAGGAGGGAGTTGCAGTAGTCTAGGCGTGAGATGACGAGAGCCTGGACCAGAACCTGCGTGGCTTTCTGGGTCAGCTGGGGACGTATCTTCCTGATGTTGTAAAGCGTGTATCTGCAGCAGCGGGTTGTAGCAGCGATGTTTGCACACACATCACACATACGAGGAATTTGCTTCAGTATATAAAGGGTGCAAACATTAACACAGTGTAATAGAAAGATCAAGAATAGAACAATTATAATAAGAAAATATTTAAAAATAAAGAGTAATACTTACACGGAATATAAAAATACATAAAAAATAATGCAGTGAATATATGACAAAATACATTATATTAATTTTTAAAGTGGAGGCTCTCCGTATTCTAAAAGAGAGATGGGTATCTACTATCTTGATGCCTAATTTTGAGCAGAAGGTACATTTTTATTGTCACTTTAACTCAAAAGGAAGCAGTCTTTTGAAAGAGGGCAGTGACAAAATAGCCAAATCATATTGTAGTGATTTGTTATGTGATATGAATGTAAGTGATTTTCTTAAATGGGCAGTTGATATCTTTTCATAGACCTTATGAGTTTAATCAAAATCCTATTGTGGAAGACTCTCTTTCCAAAGTATGGAACTAAAATGGTTGTGATGAAACCTGTGATTTACAACCATACAAAACAGTAAACTGGTAAGTAAGCTTCAATAACCTGAAGATTGTCCAGTGTCGTGAATGTCTCCTTGTGACCTTTCCTCTCCTCTGTGTGAAGGTGGTAGAAAAGTATCTTCAGTCCACTCACGCCACCACCCATAACGACTACACCATGACGGTCCTCGACATCTTCTCAGTGGACCGAGCCGGGGAGACCAGCAACTTCCTCTCTCAGATGCACAACAGGTGAGCGGTTCAATCAACTCTCAATGCACCTTCAGGCTTCGATCAAATATCATTACTGATTCATGTTGACTTGGATACAATCAGAATCCCTTTATTAGTCCCACGGAGGCGAAATGTGCGTAGTTACTGCAGGAAAAAGAGCCACAGACAGCTTAATGTTATGTTAAATATGTGACATGCATTTAAAAAAAAGTACTAAGTTATGATATAATAAAAAATATATAATAAAAAGTTACATAATTAAAAAAAATACACATCCTGTAACAGTTCTACGGATTTAGCAGCCAGGTATATATTACACAGTTATTAACGGCATTTATATATAGCACATAGTTTGTTGGTATTTAGCAGCAAGGGGTGTTATAGTCTGTGTTGTGGTGTGTGTGTGTGGGGGGGGGGTCTACTAGGGGCTGTGCTGGTTGTATAGTCTGACCGCTGCAGGAAGGAAAGACCTGCGGTATCTCTCCGTGAGACAGCGGGGGATGCAGCAGCCTATCGCTCTGTGTGCCATGCTGATTTTCAGCTAATTCAGCAAATTAAAAAAGTATAATGGAGTACGGCCCGCAGATGAAACGTGTGCTTGTCTTGTGTTGTACTTCTTAAATATAGATGAAAACAGATATTACACAGTAGTACTCATGTGTTAAGAAGCCCACTTTTCAAACAAATTCAGTCAGTTCAAGTTGAAAATGTTTTCTATCAAATCTAAGTTGATTAGAAAAAAGCCCAATAACTTATTTTCACAACAAGCTTGAAATCAACCCTTCATATTTCCTCTTATGATAATTGTGGAGGAAACTTCTGTGTAGCAATGCAGTGGGAGTCAACGACTCATGAAGGAGACACGGGACGAGCAGGAGTTCTGATGTCAAACACTGATATTTAATACAAGCATCGGCCGGAGAAATTCACATCACAAGTCACACAGTCAAAGGTTCTGACTGCACGGGTGGTTTGCCATGTCAAATCTGATCAGCCTCGCATCTTGGTAGACCTTTTAACTAGTTTACAGAGAGTCAAATCCACATATTGGGGATGGACATATTGGGGATGGGCGTAAACACATCTGCAGACACAGGAGATGTCTCTCACGTCTCTGGAGCTTAGAAAACCCTCCTTGTGCCCACTGGTGTCAGGCCATAAACGACTGCATTAACACATTCCTTACGGGAGATTAGAAGCAGGGATGGTCGTAAATGTCAACACACAAAATAAGGTTAAATGTCTAGGAGTAAAGACACAATTAATCCCTAACAATAATCAATCTGAGGCTTCTGTTTTAAGGAATGAGTTGCTAACAAAATAAATGAAACTATGGAGAGCTGTGATGTAGGTTGTCTTCTTAAAGCATATTCAAGTATTAAGCATCATTTACCTACATTTGATTTATTTTGCTGACTTATAACTGAACTTTTGAGGCGATACACCTCACTTCACCTCAGTGGCCCAGCCCTTCGTATATCTTTCTGTATGCGGCCCTCTGTGAAAAAAGGTTTGGACACGCCTGCTCTAGATGATATAACTTTATTCGCTCTGTCTCACCAGGACTCTGTTGTGGCACGGGTCCCGTCTCTCTAACTGGTGCGGCATCCTCAGTCAGGGGCTCCGAGTGGCCCCCCCCGAAGCCCCCGTCACTGGATACATGGTAGGAGGGATTCATACATATTCTGTATTTCAGTTTATTCTCAAGTCCTCTGCCTTTCTCAAAGATATTGAAGTGACTGTTATTTTGTATGATTGTTGTGCTTTTATTTAGGTCTTAATGTGTGCATATGTATAAATGTGTCTTTGATTATGTATATATAGATACATATTTGCAGGTGTCTGTATATCACTTTAAACTATGAATACAGCACCATGTTTGTATTCCAGTGCTCATAATGTTCCTGAATGTCTTGCCTCTAGTTTGGAAAAGGTATCTACTTTGCTGACATGTCATCAAAGAGTGCCAACTACTGCTTTGCCAATCAGAACAACCACACAGGGCTGCTGCTGCTGAGTGAGGTGAGTTGGTTTCATATTCAGCCAGAACAACAGATTCAATGGAGGGAAAAGGCAATGTGTCAGTAGTCTGAATTTGCTTTTAAATTTAAAAAAACTCCAAGAAGAAATTGTGCCAGTAGTTGGTGCCTACAGGTTTGTATCAGACTCTTTAAAGCTGCCAATACTCATATTAACAGTAAAACCAACATGATTTGAACGTCACATTCAGGCCAGAACAACAGATTCAATGGAGGGAACGTGTCACTGTCTGCTTTTTAAATCGCTTCTTAAAACCCACCTCTTCTCCTGAGCGTTTTGACATCTTGTAGATTGTTGCTTTTATTGCTTTTAAATTGACTATTGTTTTCACTTGTAGGCCTACTTGTTTTATGGTGTGTGAGCTGTGAGATTTGTGTATTTGTTCATTTGACTGTACAGCACTTTGGTCTGGAGGTTTTTAAGTGCCTTATAAATATAGCTGTATTGTATAGTCTGAATTTAAGCTCCTCGAAAATGTATTTGATTATAAAAAAAGCTCCAGGAACCAATAGTGCCAGTAGTTGATGCTTACAGGTTTATATCAGACTCTTTAAAGCTGCCAATACTCATGTAGTTCCGTCTAATCCAAAAATCTATATATCCAGAAGTAGCAATAAGCTTGACTCCAACAAAAATACATCTCAGGAAAGTTTGGTTGACTATTTACTTAAACAAAAGGTATCAATTACAAACACATATTATCAAAGGTCAAAAAACGATGTTGCTCCGTGATTATTTTCTCCTTCTCGCTTCTAATTACCAGCAGCTGCAGTCGGCTGTGACGGACGGCTGGTTTAAATAACTGATATAATAATATTTATAACAAATTATTACAATGTTCAACTATATCTATATACACATAATATATCAAATCACACATTTTAACATGTGAAGTGTGTGTGTGTGTGTGTGTGTGTGTGTGTGTGTGTGTGTGTGTGTGTGTGTGTGTGTGTGTGTGTGTGTGGGTGTGTGTGTGGTGTGTGTGTGTGTGTGTGTGTGTGTGTGTGTGTGTGTGTGTGTGTGTGTGTGTGTGTGTGTGTGTGTGGTGTGTGTGTGTGTGTGTGTGTGTGTGTGTGTGTGTGTGTGTGTGTGCTGTGTGTGGTGATGTGTGTGTGTGTGTGTGTGTGTGTGTGTGTGTGTGTGTGTGTGTGATGTGTGTGTGTGTGTGTGTGTGTGTGTGTGTGTGTGTGTGTGTGTGTGTGTGTGTGTGTGTGTGTGTGTGTGTGTGTGTGTGTGTGTGTGTGTGTGTGTGTGTGTGTTTGTGTGTGTGTGTGGTGTGTGTGTGTGTGTGTGTGTGTGTGTGTGTGTGTGTGTGTGTGTGTGTGTGGTGTGTGTGTGTGTGTGTGTGTGTGTGTGTGTGGTGTGTGTGGTGTGTGTGTGTGGTGTGTGTGTGTGTGTGTGTGTGTGTGTGTGTGTGTGTGTGTGTGTGTGTGTGTGTGTGTGTGTGTGTGTGTGTGTGTGTGTGTGTGTGTGTGTGTGTGTGTGTGTGTGTGTGTGTGTGTGTGTGTGTGTGTGCAGGTCGCCCTGGGAGACTGTAACGAGCTGGTGATGGCCGACTACGAAGCCCAAAATCTTCCAGCTGGGAAACACAGCGTCAAGGGCCTCGGACAGACCGGACCCGACCCCAACAACGCCGTCACCCTGTACGTCTCATTACACTCGTACATCTCATACAGGCCAATCACCGTTACACAACAACATACTTCAAACATCTGAGAGAGGACGTTTGTTGATTATAGTAACCAAGAATGTATGCGGAACAATTCAATAAAAGACACGAAGGAACACATGTAATATTAGAACAAACAATACAGTAATTAATATATAAAAAAGCATTATATTCTGTAAAATAATTGTATTCTTAGTTAATTACAATCTAATTTCCTATGTGAACAAATAGGAAGTAACAACTATGTTTGTAAATGGCAAAAGGGATGCACAGACTTTTATGTTTTACAACAAGGCATAATTCAGAGCAGTATGTGAAGCTCAGGGACTTGAATATCCTCAGAGTGATGACAAACTACTGAAGCTTTTTACTGTATTCTTCTAGATCTATTTGTTCAGAGTTATTTCAAGCGCTCCATAGAAAGGTCACATGGCTTTGCTCCAGAAAGAGGCACTTTGGAGTAAAACCATTCAGCTGCAAGTCCACACACTGAACAGTGAACTCCGTCTGCGACTCAGACTAATGGACTCACCTGGTTTGACCCCCTGTGCTCAGCTCTGGTGCGTCTTCTCTCTGTACATTTCACAGTCTGAACATATACTGTTTCTACATAGAGAGCCGTTCCCTAAGCATGAAGCATAACATTTCACGAAGTGTCCTCCTTCAAATCCTCAACAGAGAATGCTGCATTTTATGTTTTAGTAATTAAGAATTCGATTAGAAAGAATATATAGTGAATTGTATCTGTGTACATTATGGTAGACCTTACATTCAGAGTTTTAACATTTAGAAACATAATAATGGACTTCTGCCACTTTTTTAAAGCCAAAAATGACAAATATTTAATTGTTCTGCATTCTCAAATGTGAGAATGTTCTGAACCTGATGGTTAACTGAATATTTTTGGACATTTAAAGACATCGCCTTTTGCTGTACAGGCATTATTTCACAGTTTTCTCATGTGTTAAAAATCAAACTATTAATAACTGGCAGATTATTAAAAAAAAAGTATTAGTTGCAGCCCCTGTTTAAGCCCATTACCTACAAAAGATCTTAATCGGGAAATGAATTGGCTATTATCAGTCATTCCCAGGCAGAATCTTGTGGTACCAGAATCTCCAATGTTTATATTAGAAAGCGACAAAAGGGGATTCCTTTTCCACAAGTTTTCTCGACCTGACGATTAATCAATTGACTGAGAAAAACAGAAGCATTGCACTCATTGATATTAATAAGTGTCACAAAGGGAAGGCAACTTGCAATTATTATTTAAAACCCACCAGAGAGGTCCTTAAATATATATCTAGCCTTTTACTAGATCTTTAAAACCCCCACTTGTTGCCATGCCAACCTAAATGTCACTGTTTTTATTCTGTGGTTTACTTTATTATATATATATATTATTTTTGTTGTTGTTGTTTTGTTTCAACCATTTTACACTGAGTTTTGTTTACTCAAATGCGCTTATAAATCAAATTGATGATTGTTATTATTATATGCATATTTAGTGCGAATGCTGAGCAAATCGTTTCACTTTTCTGCATTTCTCCGCTAAGTTCAGCAACACATACACGGCTTACAGCATTCACACGCATTTTCAGCAGGAAATGCATTTGTTCTAGTTTTGATTGTGTCCCTCTCTATTTCTCAGGGACGGCATGACGGTGCCTATGGGTCCGGGGGGGAAGACGCGGGCGAGCAGCGACGGCCGTTACCACCTCCTGTACAACGAGTTCATCGTTTACAACCCCGCCCAGACCCGCATGAAGTACCTGCTGCGGATCAAGTTCAACTACTCCTCCCTTTGGTGAAGCAACACAGAAAGGAGATGAAGACATCTGGAGGTTTTCTCTCCACAAATCTCCAGTCATTGTTCATTTACAGTTATATTCTGGTTCTTTGGTTTAGGATGTGACACCGTGAAGCTTTGCAGTTACTGGGGGAATGTTTATTTTGTGAAGGAGAGCTGCAGTTATTTGTCAGTCGGCAACTATCTCAAAAGATTATTGTTTGTTCCGTCAATGCTGAAAGTGATTGAAGCTTTTCTTTCTCGTATGTTATATCTGTGGGTTGTACGACTTTGAATGTTTAGACTTTGCATTTTTTCCCAGTTTGACATTTTATGGGCCATTTTTTGGATTTAAAGCTCACACGATTGTCAGATAAATTATTTGCATTCCTACATTAACATCCTGAATGAAGTGTAATACAAGCAATGCTTAAACAACAGACACAAAAAGTACATGTGAATGTTAATTTAGAATTTAATGCTACTTTTCTACATTGTGTTTTCTCTCTGAATACAACATTACATCTTCGATCTTTTTAAAGGAAGTGATGAGACCCTGTCAAATATATGCTGACTGTGTTAGTCCGGTAACTTTGATAAGTCAAAAAGAAGAGGATAAGTTCACGTTATAAGAACAAATGTGCTCGACTTTTTGCTCTACTCTTTTGTCTACGTTTCTTTATATCACGTACGTCCTCACATCTATACAAATGTGTTTTTCTGCAATGTCATGAAACACAAATGGCCTTATCTATTGGAGTATCATCGTCTGACTTTTATAACATAATGATCTGGAAGTTTCTTTTCTTTCCAAGTTGGACGTGAGCATTTCTACTGAATAATTACCTAAATTCTAGTGAATGTCTCAAATTGGAAGTAAACGTTTTCATCTGTTTTGATAATTGTTGAGTCAAATTTCTGTATGTGTGAACACGAACTCCCAAAAAATAACAAATACTGTTACAATTGTACAAAAAAAACATGTTTATGTAAACAATAATAATCATTCTTTCATTGTCAGTTAAAACAGGATTTACAGTATATACAAAGTAATCACAATAATAAAGTACATTCTACATGTGGGTACAGTTTGGTGTGTTTGTGTAAATGTATTTCGTGTATACAGTTTCACCTCCTCCCTAGCAGGTAGAGGAAGATGAGCATTACGTCCAGGTAGATGTTGAGAGCAGCGTTGATGTATTCCTCTGGATTCAGACGGTAGCTCATCGCCCCCATCATCAGCTGACAGTCGATCATCAGGAACTGAAGGGAGAGAGAGGAAGAAGAGGAGGATGAGGAAGAGTTAGGACAGGGTGAGAGTATGCACCACCAGATAACTAATAGTAAATCATGAAATGTGTTATAATGCAGTGTTGACATGGAAGACATTTGACATGTCACAGAAGAAAAAGCACAGGTAAATAATCAAAACAATGATGGCTGAATTGCAGTCAACCAATCAGAACAAGACGGCCAGCTAACCAATCAGCAGACTGGGCTCTTAATGGTTTTAGACAGAAGGTGACGAGGTATTTCCAGTAAATAATAATAATAATCTTTATTTGTATCGCACCTTTCATACAATAAGTGCGGTTCAATGTGCTTCACATAGACATTTCACAGAAAATGTATATCACACAGCATACAGTTACCAGTAAAATACATAAAAAATACATTTAGATTAAACGATGAAATTGTGCAATAAAAGGGGGATATTGCAAATTCAACACACAATCAATTTAAATGACTATATACATATATAAATGGTTCTTTTCTCCCATACCAGTGAATACAGCAGAGCACCAAAACATCCATAGGCGATGTCACCGAGATAGGAGGAGTAGAAGGTCGAGAAGATCCCGAACATGATCAGGTCCACGGACAGAATCAGCAGAACACCGTAGCAAACAGTGAAATCATAACGAGTCTGGAGTAAAAACAGGAACACAGGTACATTACATCCTGAAGAGCTTTTGGTCAGTATATTGAAAGCTCTTTAGGACATCTTTTGTTTTTTCAATTGAGTTTTTTCAATTGAGTTCTTTAGTAAAGTACTTTCACAAATGTTGCTCTTCATCCATGACGTGTTGATAAATAAAGGCCTTCATAAAATGCTGCATTTCATATTTTCTTTATTATACTAAATTGCCTAATCGGCCAATACACTGAAGCATTTTATTTACAACACATCTTTGGATGGGCATGGTTCATTGTTTTACCTATTCTTATCTACTACTTACATTTGATCTTCTTTCTATCAATTTATCGACACATTTTTTCATGCTTACATTCACATTTTGCCAAGTCAAGTCAAATTCTCAATTTCTTTACAAATAAAAGGTGAGAGCTATAACTTCAAAACTGATATGTAAAGCAGCTTAAAAGTGTGCATTCTTTGGTAAACACAGAACGTGATGCACCGGCTGGTTTCTGACCTGTGCAGAGAAAACGATGATTGCCACAGTGACGGCCAGCGTTACTCCCATAGTGATGACCACAGAGGTGGTGTCGTGGAAGGAGGCAATGGTTCCCACCATGTAGGACAAACTCAGGGTGACAACAACCTGCAGGCACAAAACGAAATGTATTAAGCATCTCAAGTATCTTTTAAGAATTTTTTTTCCATATTTTGCAGACACATTTAATGCATTGCATAAAATATTTAACAATCAATATTCAAATGCTTGATTGTCAATAACTACGGAGCACCAGCAACTTATTTTACGCTGCTATGGACAGTCTTGCACTAATGTACATCCTCAAAGATATTGAAGTGACTGTTAGTTTGTATATTGATTGTTGTGCTTTTATTTAGGTCTTAATGTGTGCATATGTATAAATGTGTCTTTTGATTGTGTATATGGGGCATTCTACCGAATTAGTACAAAGTGCGGTCCCACAACAAGAACAACTATTTAACAAAACAATTAAGTATTCAGACATAGATATTTACTAAGAATATGTTATGGTCTATTTAAACTTAAGACATTCAATTATATAGTGATAAGCTTAATATATACAAAACCATCATGTATAGGGTACTTTCTATTGGGAAGTAGCTGTCTCCAACCCTGACATCTCAATTTCTGTAAATAACACTTACATTTTTTTATTAAATGTTGTTCAATGGTGTATTTAGAAGATCTTTATGATTACATTCAAACAGAAGTTGGAATATTTAGATTTATTGTGGGTATCATTTTTTTAATAAAAAAACTATACTCAAAAGATCATGTCCCCAGTTTTCATGTCACTACCGAAACACAAGGGGTTTTAGTCATGATTTTAGTCCAATGGCTGAGCCTGGTTTTTAGGCACACCCCTGCATTTTTGAGAAGGCAGCCATTGACTCTGACCCTCGTGACTGAATGGCAAGTAGCAATATCCCATACTTTTGAAAATCTGTTCCAAAATCTGAAAATCGGCTTGTAACCTTAACAATTGTCACTACCGAACACATATTATCTTCAATTAAGTCAACTTTTTCGGGGTTTTATGCAAAGTATTAGGTTTCTATGTGTGTAAACCTCTTCAAAAACGCGTATGCTAGCCATGTAGGCTACTTGCTAGCATTCTTTAGTTAGCAATATCCCATTCTTTTGATATAAATCTGTTCCCAAATCTGAAAATTGGCTTGTAACCTTAAGAATTGTCACTACCGAACACATATTATCTTCAATTAAGTAAACTTTTTCGGGTTTTTATGTGTGTAGTATATGTGTGTATGTATGTGTTCAAAACATAGGTTCAAAAACGTGTATGCTAGCCATGTACTTGCTAGCATTCTTTACTTATGCTCAATTTGAGCTAGAATCGTCACTATCGTAACAGTCATTACCGAAACATATGGTTACGTTTTGGTAATTGACATGATCGTTTCGGTAATGACAAAAGTAAGCAGGTAAATCCCATAGTTTTTAAATAAATGTGTTTGCATTCACACCTAACAGTCCGCTTCTCTGGTGCGCACCAGACCACAGTTTGTTACATTGTTTCATTTTTCAGAAGGTTCGGTTTGCGTTCACACGGGCAAAACTCAAACGGACTATAAACTTTAAACACAAGTCATGTGCACGGAAATGCTGTTCAACAATTGGTCAGACATTAAGGGTAAAAACGCAAATCCAGACAATTTCTACCGGAGCCTTCGCCATGGAGCATCGGCACTTTCGGCAGGTTATTCTCATGCTGCTGTTAGTCTGGAGATCAACAGACTCTAGCGGCACGCGCATATACTCGCATATAATCAGACAACGTCCGTTAAAAAACATTATAACACATATAATGAGAGACGTTCTGCAGTAAGGAGGGGCGTTCAGGTGTTCTTATTTGTATGTAGCTGACAGAGAGTTTTTACTTTACACGACACTGTTCAACACTTCATTCTGCTTCACTCTTTAACTAAGCAACCGCGGATGTCTTGAAAGACTCTTTCGCTAAAGATTTTGAAGATATCCGCGTTCTTGTGACACGTAAATACTGCGCTTCCTATGTTTTGGTGCGGACTGCGTTCACACCAGCAATGCACCGCTCCAGAGTTCGCAAGCAAGCGCTCCGAGACCACCTATTTTAGCGGACCAGAGTCCGGTTGTTTAGTTCACTTAAAGGTGGGGTAGGTACGTTTCAGAAACCGGCTCGAGTGCACTAACATTTGAAAGTACACAGCCGAAAAGAATCCGCCCCTTCCTTACAGAGCACCTCCTCCAACACACGCGCACATGACGTCAGCAGACTGGTGAAAGTGGCCGCCTGTTGCTGGCGGCGAGTCATTGAAGTACTGCTGCAATGCACGCCCAATGACGGCATGCCCAATGAGGGCACGAGATACATTTGTGCGTGCTAGAGATGGAAGGCTGACAGACAGGGCGGCAATCCAATTGGTTGTACTTTTTACAGTATTACGGCTTCCACAGAGGACATTTTTTTAATGGATTTTTTGTCAAAGCACTTCAGATATTCATTGCTATGGGGATGTTAAGAGCATTCTATGGAATATAACAAAAAGTGTATCTTGAGCCGGTTTCTGAAACTTGCCTACCCCACCTTTAAGAGGTCTCGGATTGTGTTCACACCGACCCAAATGAACCGCACCAAGCGGCTAAATGCACCAGGGTTCGATTCAACCGGACTATACAAGGCAGGTGTGAACGCGCCCCTTGGCTGGTGTGAATGCGCCCTTATTATACTATTTGTAGGCATATATTATAGGTCTCATATATATATAAAAACATGTCTATGAAGTGTTTTGCTCAAAATACCAAACAGATCCCCCATTCTAGCCTCATTCCCCTCTATTTCAGCCTGTTACTAAAGTGCTGATTCTGGGTCAGTAGCTTCAAACATTCACACTTCAACATAAGGCATGTTATGAGTTAAGATTAAGCAATAAGGTTCAGGGAATATGATACAACCTTGAGAACAAAATACTGCAGTCACTACCGAAACAGTGCAGTCACTAAAAGTAAGTATATTGAGTTATCAACTAAAATTATATGATACTGATTGGTTTAATGTATGTTACATTTCAACAATCATCAACTCTGGAATCAATATGATCAGTATTATGCATTTTACAAAGAAAGTTTGCATTGTGATTTTTATGAATTGTATAAATGTAACTTTGACATTTTATTAAAAATTCACTTTTATTAATTTCATTGTCAAGAAATATTTGTTAAAATACTATTTTGAGAAGGGAAGGTAAAGAAATCTTAACAGGTTAATATAACACTTTTTTACTACAGTATATTTACTATGTTTCGGTAGTGACCATTTTTGATAGAGGAAGAACATTCCAATACAGTCTGAAAATACGATATAAAAATGTACGGTTCGTTTACTAGATATGTGTAATTTAGATATGGCACAAAATATATATGGACAACGTTTTTGGAAAAAAACATACAAAATGTCAAAACATTTCCAACCTGACTTTGGTCCAATTCGGTAGAATGGCAAAACCTCAACAGTCACAATCAAATGGCACATGAACACAAATCCAAAGGCAACTTACATTTTAGACTAAATCAAAAATGTACTAGATTCTAAGTTCTTAGTTAAATGTAATACTAGGTCTAAATGGTGCAGAAAACCAAGCAGGAACTACAAATGTTTGCAAAATATTTTATCTATACTAATTCTTTAATGTATTTACTGTACTGGGATATATTTTACATGTACCTTTTAGACATATACCCTTAACCTTTTAACTTGTTTTAGCACCTACCGTATTTAAAATGTTGTTTTTAAACTATTCTGTATCTCTTTAATGCATGGTTTTTATGAATCTGTAATTCCATTATGTTTATTTATTGTATTCCTTTCTGTTGTCTTATTAAGTGTTAATGATGATGTAAAGCACTTTGAATTGCCTCTGTGTCTAAACATGTGCTATATAAATAAAATTACCTTAGCTTCAAAATATTTCACTTTTTAGGATGCTACTCTGTGACCTCAGTTGCATGGCAAACTATTCCTTCTTTTATACTGCAAAGCCGTTAGTTATTGTATCATTTCAGATCTGTGACACTCTCTTTATTGTGTGAACTTTATTTCCCCACAACAGTAGATATTTGGGGGTTTATGCTCCTGTACTTGTGACCCACCAGTCCCAAGATGTTCCAGGGGTGACGCCGGCTGAAGTCTCTGCTGTAGCTGAGGGCGAGGGAGACCACGAGAAAGATGATGATGGAGCTGAGGTAGGCCCCCAGGCTGGTCTGCACCGCATCTTTCACCACGCTGGAGAAGGTGAACACACACACCACACTGAAGGTGAACAACAGCTGGAGGGTCAGGATGCTGAACACCTGCAGGGGAAGACAAAGAACAAGCATGTTGCTATCGGTTACTAGCAGAGATGGCAAAAGTACACACATGCTTTACTCAAGTAGAAGTACAGATACTTGTTTTTAAAAATACTCTGGTAAAAGTAGAAGTACTGACTAAACTTCTTTACCCAAGTAAAACTAAAGAAGTATGGGCTTTGAAATGAAAAAGTACCCATAACTACCATCTGTTTTAAAGAGTACCTGACCTCCCTGTATATTAATAGAACAATAATGTCATTGTTAGCTAATGAATGTTTCGATGCTGAACAATGGCAAAATGACAACGTTTTCATTGGCAGGGCTCGACAGTAACGGTTGCCAGGTTGCCATTGGCAACCATTCAGAAAAAATATCAACCACTTCTTGGCCTTTGGTTGTCATCAGTGGCAACCAGTTTTTAACATAAATAAACATTTGTGACAGCAAATGTGCACCCCAAAAATAGATACATGTTAATTATTTGTTGTATTAAGAGTGATATTTAATTATTGTTGTGACCAGTCGGAACATGATACTTAAGTTGCACGTGCATTGGTGTGATTACGGAGCCAGAAAGCGATGCACGTTTACTCGCGCGGTGCGCCGTGTGTTTGTTTTACAAAAAATGGTGAAGCAAATTAAGTTGTTTGACCGTGCGGTAAAAAGTTCCCGTCAATATCTCAAACGAATGTTCAAAGTGATTCAACTGATAAAGCGAAAGGTGAACCCGAACGAAAGCAAAGAGGAAATGTGTAAAGTCTTGGGAGGTGAAATACTTCCGGTAAAAGTTCCTTCAAAATAAGAGTCCCGATCTTATTACTACCAAAATAAAAGTGCTAAACGAAGCTTTACCATAGGAAAATATTGGCATACAATTATAATCACTTCTATAAAAAGGTAACACATTTTAAATATAGTTAGATATATTAAAGGTAATGTACAACATTAATAATTAATATCTAATTCTTAACTGTGAATGGCTTTCATTTATTTAACATTAGAAATGTAATAGTCTGGCCAATCCAAGACTTCAATGCTGAAGGGCCAGTGGATCTCTGGTGGGGGTCAGCACAAAGGTCAAGAAAACCCACATTTGAAAGGGAGACAACGGATAACCAAGAAACTAGTGACTTGCTCAATTCATTTGTGAGGGATCTGTGAAGAACATGACAACAGCTGCACTGCTGGTATTTTGTATACCAGCAATTGAGGGTGCACAAGTTTACTACCACTTTAGTTTCAATTAATTGTGTTAATTACTTATTGTAAAGTATTCGAACATTCCTTTCTGTCACATTTTCATTATTAAGTTGATGTATAATTGTATAGTATCTTAATTATTTAAAATACAAGGTGACTAAAAATGGCAACCGTATTTTCCGTTTTGGCAACCAAAAGCTGATGCCTGGTTGCCAGCCTGGCAACCACTTTTAAAAATTAGCGTTGAGCCCTGATTGGTCCCTCTTCTTTAGAGAAGACCAGGAAATGATGGATGCACGGATCGTGTTCAAATCAATAGGCACGCAATGACTCTAAATAATAATGATCACGCCACCAAACACACATTCAAACTAAAGGAACAAACCTGTTAGAAGTAGAGAGTACAGGTATTTGTGTTAAAAATGTAAGAAGTAAAAGTAAAAAGTCGTCAGGAAAATAAGTAGTGGAGTAAAGTACTGATACCAGAAATATGTACTTAAGTACAGTAACAAAGTATTTGTACTCCAATACTTCCCACCTCTGGTTACTAGTGAATTTATTGAGGAAGCGATGAATCTATATTTCCAGATAAACACTGACTGTTAAAATACAGAGTAATCATATTAAGAAAATAGTTACATTTTTCGAGTTCGATAAGATTTATTTTAAAAATGTTAGCTAGTATGTGTCTAATTTATTATTATTATTGATTTAGACAATGTATTTGTGTATCAAAATAGTTTAATTTGTTTGATTATAAGATACTATCCCTTTGAAGAACAATTGTGTGCCTCAGCCCAAGGACAAAAGTTATTTGCCCCGGGACATTTATCTTTAAATGTACCCAAAAAAAAGCTTTTGTCTTCCTGTTAATACATTTTCTAACCCTGAAATGTATCTTGCGACCCATATAGAGGGTTGGGAAACATCTGGTGAAGGATAAGTAACACCCCAAATACTGTCAAAACATCAAAACAAACACTTGTCTCAAAGAGTCATTTGCCATCAGTCACTGCAACGCTGTGAGACTTCAAATCAAACTGTACATTTCACATTTACATTCAATTTAACATTTCATATTCCATTCCGTACACTCTTAATGTATATATAATATCATTTTTCTACTTTTCTAATGCTATTTCATTTCTATTTGAGATGTTTACATTTTGGATTGTTTATTTCTTGGGTTTTAATTTCTCTAATGTAGAATGCCTTGTCTTTTCATGCTGCTACAACGCAAAAACGTCCCAAATTGGTGTCAATAAAGTACTTCTTATCTTATCTTAGTCCGTGCTGAACTGGGGAAGAGGGCGTTCAGTTACGCTGCTCCTGAAGCTTGGACCCAGCTTCAAATTGAGCTGAAACTCAGAGAGCTGGTCTCATTAAACAGACGAAAAGCGACTCTAGCTGACCTTGAAGCCGCTGTAAATGCTTTGGCTAAACTCAGTGTATGGCTGTGTTGTGATTGTGTGTTTTAAAATTGTCTGTAACTGTGCTGTTACCATTATTTGGCCGGGACTCTCTTGAAAAATTGAAATGTGTAATCTCAATGAGACTATCCTGGTTAAATAAAGGTAAAATAAACACTTTTTTTTTTTTAAATAGTAGCGACAAGTTTAAACTCTGAATCGGACAAACCTTTCTAACAAACGCTCTCCTCACTATCTGGTCATCAAAAGAAGACGAGGCGATCAGTGGAGTTGTGTCCGACAGATGTTCTGGGATGATGTCCCGGAAAGACTCGTACCCAGTGCTAGACTGTTTTGTCCAAGTTGTGTCTGTTTTGGCTGCAGAGTAGGGTGGAGGTTGCTCTCCTTGGTAGGGCGGAGGTAGAGAGGATGCATCATCACCAGGAGCCTGCTGTGTGTCTCTGGATGTGAGGAGGTCTGTTGTATCAGACATGCTGGAGGACAATGTGGGTCAAACACAGAAGTTCAGTCAAAGAAAAAGGGAAGTGATGCAAACATTAGTTTCATGGGATGAATTAGGTCAAGCAGATAAACTAGGAAGTCAAAGTCAACTTTATTGTCAATCTTTCAGTTTGTGTGTACAGACAGTTACTGTTTTACTTAACTTCTGTATTGTTTTTCAGTCAAATTGCAACTATTGTTAAACTTAGTTTGGTCTAGTAGTACATTTGGGAATTGTTGTTCAGTTTGTGTGGAGTCCTGCGCATGTGGGTATTAGAGGTAATGAGGTCGTGGATCAACTGGCAAAAAATGGATTGAAAGCAAATCAGATTGAATTAACAGTAGCCTACCTATCAGTAGGCCAGAAGTAAAATCATTTACAAAAGTTATTATCAAGCTACAATGGCAAAAGTTATGGGACAGTAACACCAAAGGAAGACATTCATACCAGATACAAAGGGAAGTAGGAATGGAAAGCACTTGAGGCAGTAATAGAAGAGAACAGAACATTATCAGAAGGATACATTTGGTCACTCCTGATTAAACCCATCACTACATCTGATTGGAAGGTAGTGGTGGTCTAATGGATAGTGAGGTGATCGGAAGTTTGTGAGTTCAAATCCCGCCTGGAGTAACTAAGGCACTTAGCCCTTAGTTACTCCAGGGAGAATGTCCCTGGAGTAACTAAGGGCTAAGTGCCTTAGTTACTCCAGGGAGAATGTCCCTGGAGTAACTAAGGAACTTAGCCCTTAGTTACTCCAGGGAGAATGTCCCTGGAGTAACTAAGGCACTTAGCCCTTAGTTACTCCATGGAGAATGTCCCTGGAGTAACTAAGGCACTTAGCCCTTAGTTACTCCATGGAGAATGTCCCTGGAGTAACTAAGGCACTTAGCCCTTAGTTACTCCAGGGAGAATGTCCCTGTAATTGGTAATTGTAAGTCGCTTTGGATAAATGCGTCAGCTAAATTAAATGTAATGTAATGAAAACATCCAACTGGCAATTGTGATGGTTGTCAATAAATCATGTATTTTTTAGCTGCCCGGAATATACAAGCAAAGACTCATTCTGAAAACTGCAATGGAACAACATAACATTAAGGACATGAATTTCAAGTCAATATTTGCAAGAAATGAAATTCACAAACTGATCTTCAAGTTTCTCAAAAACACTGGTCTGAGGAAGGATTTAACTTGAAGATTCAATAATGTATTACAAAAAATAATTGTAATACACGTTTGAAAATGATGCCGAAGTAACTAAATACTGATAACGGTTAGTGAAAACCATGCTTTGTGTGCAGACAAGACGGCAGGCGAAAAACTTTTAAAATGCGTGTTCTCTGAATGGAGCGATCTCCATTCGATCAGATCAGAAACTAACCTGTATCTGCTCCGTCCAAACTCACAACAACGTCCTAAGGACATAATTAAATCAGTGACTGTATTCACCATGACACAGACATTCTGTGGTTTGTACTTGTTTAACTTTTGTCTAGTTTCTGAACAGATATGAGGAGTTGATGCACTGCTGCTGAATGAAGTATGTGCAGAGTTTGACCCTTGAAGGCTGTTTCTTCTGCTCTGAAATGGAATATATTTGTTACATATTAATAGAATTTTAGATTTTTTGATTTGATTTTGGATTTGTGAATGGGAGAAGTAGTAGATGGAAAACATAGCGAACACTAATTATTCAAAGTAAAGTATTTCATTTTATATATACGGTAATACTAAGGAGGCATAGGCCTATATGATGATATCATGTTTGACATTATTGATATTAAAAAAGTGATTTGTTTTCCATGTCATTCGTGTGTTTTTCTTTATAGAAAGTGAAGTTATTTATTTGTAAGCTCCAAATCCAAATGTTTCCCTCAATGGCCTTTGCGCCCTGAAAAAATGTGTGACACCAAAGGCCAAATGGCCTTGCCCCTAAAATGACGAAAATCCAAGCCTGGTGTGCGCTTCCTCACATACTTCCTGAATGAAAAGTGAACTATAATATTAGACAAATATTAAGACGTTAAACTTTAAACATCCATGACTTAAACACTTTATCCAGGATAAAAGTACGTAATGTTACTTTGATCCAGTTACTTAAGTTACCTTGTGGCAGATATTTAAGTAAGCTTTCTTAACGCTAATGTTATATGTCAGATTGCTCTGAAGATGGGAGGTGATATTCTATTAATTTTCACGTTCACACAGATAGTTGATTTTTGCCGGCCGTCTTTCCTGCAACGGCAGTTTTTCTGTATTTCCTTTCTCCTGTAAAATGACTTGATCGCTTTAAACTCTGTACACTGAGCTCTGATTGGTCAGCAAACAGTGCTTTCACTGAGTTGATCTCTTACCCTGGAACCTAACCTGCTCCGGACCAGGCTAGCCGTTCAGCATAAGTTACCATGGAGATCTAGCCCGCTAAAAAGAGAACCAGCGTCGTAGGACCGGAAACCCAGAGTTTTCCCTGAAGTTAGCTCGCTAAGCGAAAATCTGGCTTCGTAGTATAGGCCTCTGAGCTGTAGTTATCCCGAGCTTGAATGACACACAGACCAATCAAGAGTCGCTTTCACACCAAGTACTTTGCCGTACTTAGTTCCCAGCACTTAGTACCCCCATGGAACTAAGAGCAGATCGCGTTCACACCGGAATAAGTTCCCTGAGGGAAGATTACGCAAATGAAGCCGCTGACGTCACTTCTTCTTCTTCTGCTTTAAGTTTACTGGCAGGCCGCAAACAACTTCACGGTGTATACTGCCACCCGAAGTCCCCGGCCGGAAGTCCCCGGAGTTGAGGACTGGCTTCAGTGTAAATCGCCAGAGCGCCGACACCTCCTCATCACTCCACCGCTCTCATGTTTTTTTTTGTGTTGCCATAAGTTATTCTCACTCCGTTGGTGCGCGCGGCTAATGCTAATAATGCTAATGCCAGCAAATACAATGGCGGCTTCACAAAACTTTTCCGAGTTTCACGGGGACGTGGTTTGCAATTCGCCCAGCTAATCAGAAATTGGAACTTTTTTCTCCCGAGAAAAGTACCACCTCTCTAGCAGGCACTAAAAAGGGGGTAAAAGTTCTCATGAACCAAGTTCTCTTTTTGGTGTGAACGCAAAATCCCAGGAACTAAACGGGAAAAGTACTCTAAGTGCCTAAGGGCTTTGATTTATGATCTGTATGACAGTGGCCATGTCGACAGTAGTGCTGGGGGGAAACGATTATTTTGAAAACGATTAATCGGGCGATTATTTGATCGATTAGTCGACTAATCGAACGATTATTTTTCTGTTGTTCAATTCATAAAAAACGTAATGTAAAAAATTTTTTTTCACGATACTGTGTCTCAGGGGATCTTAATATTTAAGAACCTATTAATGTGTTATACCAGATTAACGGAAATAATCTCAGCTAACTGACGATACAAACCATGTTTACCAAAACAAAACACAAGTCTCATAAGAAGCATCTAAATGACCCCTGAGCGAAAAATGCTAACGGAATTGGCACAGAACTCAAGATAAAAGTACCCTTATTACTTATCGTAGCTGCACATACAAGATATCCGATTAAAGCTGAGACTCCACAGATTATGTAGGTATATAGTATCATCACTGAGTGATCCGGACTCGCGACAGGGGAAGCAAATACAGTCATCACAACACGTACCTTCACAGAGCTTCTAGGGAGATCGTCTCACCGCCGTAGCTGTCAATCTGATCAAAATACGTGTTCAATGGCATTAAAATGAGAAAAAACGCGGCTGAATCGGTTAATCCATAGGTTTTTAACGTCTATGTATAAAAAATGATTGAATTTATAATCCATAATTCCATTTTTATGTAAAAATCGGAGAGCAAATGCTAGCTGCTAATGGTTGCCACCACAGCTAGCTGCTGCTTCCGGTCAAGCAGCAGTCTCAGTGAGATATAAATATATAAATATCTTTGCGTTTTGGACTAACTTTAAAATATTCCCATGCTTTTGAAGACCTAGGGCGAGATGTTTTCGTTTGAGGGCTTCGTGCGCAATCCTGTGAGGAGGAGGTGGTAGCCGTTTCAGTCTCCATTGTGTTAGAAGTGCGATTGCGAACTGCTTGTTGCTTTGGGTGACCCACGTGTGTGTGGCGACCATATATACAGTCTATGGTGGCGACGCGTCGACGCGGAAATATGTCGTCGACGATATTTTGAAGTCGATGTCGACGCGTCGCTACAGCACTAGTCGACAGGCCACATCATGTTGACAGCCTATCACCCTGTATTAGGCAGACCCACATTTGCGCAGCGTTGCGTTCACAATACATTGTTAAAAAAAAGTAACTAAATGGGTCGCGAAATATACTTTGGCGGCCGTTAATGTACCTGGGCGGCCCGCCCAAGTAATGTCTGTGTGGGAAACCCTGTATATACATATGATAATTATATATAAATTACAGGTGTGTCTACAGTATTCTTTCAAATATAATACACTAAGTGTTTTTGTTTTTTAGCTTTAAGGTTATTTGTATAGTTAAATTTACATTTAGTGTAAATACTTGTCTTTAGCATCCCTTTGTAATGCTAAATTGTTTCTTTAAAATACTTATTTTTATTATCCTTATATATTTCTTTTTTTCTACCTACTTTGCAACTTATTTTTTTAGATTGTTTATGTTCGCACCAAAGCAAATTCCTAGTATGTGAAAACGTACCTGGCAATAAACTTGATTCTGATTCTGATATGTGACGGTGTTTCTAACCTTGTTCTTGTCTCAAAAGGTCATTGTCCATGGATACAGAAGACAAGATGGAACCCTACCAAAGGTAACACTAAGTAAAATAATAATGCAGATCTTTATACATGCCACATTGTTAAAATATTTACCGTCCTAAGTTTATTTAAATTGTACATTTAATAGACAATGGTTCAGGAGTGGCTTGACACAAGGAATGCGACAGTTGTAGCCCATGTTCTGGATACGTCTGTGCGTGGTGGCTCTTGATGCACTGACTCAAGCCTCAGTCCACTCCTTGTGAAGCTCCCCCACATTTCTGAATGACCTTTGCTTGACAATCCTCTCAGGTCTGCGGTTATCCCTGTTGCTTGCTCACCTTTTCCTACCACACTTTTTCTTTCCACTCAACTTTCTATGAATATGCTTGGATACAATACAGCACTCTGTGAACAGCCAGCTTCTTTAGCAATTACCTTTTGAGGCTTACCCGCCTTGTGGAGGGTGTCAAATGACTGTCTTCTGGACAACTGTCAAGTCAGCAGTCTTCCCCATGATTGTGAAGCCGACTGAACCAGATTGAGAGACCATTTAAAGGCTCAGGAAACCTTCGCAGGTGTTTTTAGTTCATTAGCTGACTAGAATGTGACACCGGGAGTCTACAATATTGAACTTTTTCACAATATTCAAATGTTCTGAGATACAGATTTTTGGGTTTGCATTAGCTGTAAGCCGTAATCATCAAGATTAAAACAAATAAAGCCTTGAAATATTTCACTTTGTGTGTAATGAATCCATATGAGTTTCACTTTTTGAATTGAATTAATGAAATAAATTAACTTTTCCACGATATTCTAATTTATTGAGATTCACCTGTATATATATATAAATAATCAATTTATGTTAAATAATGTTTTGATCTGTTCTATGGTTATGTAAATGTGTTTTATGGTTATATAAATCTTGTAGCCATTGATTGATTGATTGATTGAAGTTAAATGCATACATTTTATGAATTGTCAAATTACTATGTATTGAAATTAACAGTTCTCTCTCTTCTTCAGACTACATTTATTTTTTAATTAAATATTCTCTGATGTTCTTGTCTTTTTTTTGTTCTTCCAGATTCATTCAAGAGGGAAAAGATGTTGCCAGACAAGGCGACATGAACCAAGCGCTGAAGTGTTTCAAACTGGCGTACAACATTCACCAGAGTGAAGAACTTGAAAGCCGGATAAAGACAATTGAAGAACTTCTTGCTCAGAATGACTCAGAGGAAGAAGATGAAGAGTTTGTGAATGTTAACGGCAGCGGCTTAATGCTTTTCAAAGAGATGTATGACAAGCTTTATGACTACCAAATAAATGGAGTCACCTTCTTGTACAGTCTCTGCAGAGATGGACGTAAAGGTGGAATCTTGGCAGATGACATGGGCCTTGGTAAAACCATCCAGGTGATATCATTCCTCTCAGGCATGTATGACAACGAGCTGGCTAAGCACACACTGCTGGTCATGCCAACTTCTCTCATCACAAACTGGACCAAGGAGTTTGCCAAATGGACTCCTGGCATGAGGGTGAAAGAGTTTCACGGATCGAGCAAGGAGAGGACCATGAATTTGGAGAAAATTCAAAGGACAAGTGGTGTTATCATCACCACGTACACTCTGCTTATGAATAACTGGCAGCAATTGTCATCTTACAATGGCAAAGAGTTCACATGATCCTAGATGAGGCACACAAGATAAAATCCTCAACTACCAAAACAGCCAAAAGTGCCTACGCCATTCCTTCAAAAAACAGAGTTCTCCTAACTGGCACTCCAGTCCAAAACAACCTGAAGGAATTGTGGGCTCTCTTTAACTTTGCTTGCCAAGGGACTCTCTTAGGCACAGCTAAAACCTTCAAAACGGAGTATGAGCACCCAATCACCCGGGCCAGAGAGAAGGACACCACTCCAGGGGAAAAGGCCCTCGGGTCTCGAATGTCTGAGAACCTCATGGCCATAATCAAACCCTACTTCCTCCGCAGGACAAAAGCAGAAGTGCAGAAAAACAATAAGAAAGGCCAACTTCCTTGTAAAGAGGAATATTCAGAGACCAAGGACGGCAAAGTCCAAAATATTCCAAAAGACTCTGGCGCAGTCATGCCAACACTGACTAGAAAGAACGACTTAATTGTCTGGATTTACCTTAGTCCTGTTCAGGAAGATATTTACAGGCAGTTCCTTTCACTTGACCAAATCAAGGAGCTGCTCATGACAACCAGATCACCTCTAGCTGAACTGAACATAATGAAAAAGTTGTGCGACCATCCAAGACTGCTCTCTCCTGCAGCCATAGCCAAGTTAGGCTTAGAAGAAAGCACAGCTCAAGGTCAGCAGAACGATAACATGGAGACAGGCACATGCACCATCGCCAACATTCCAGACGAGACCTTAATATCTGAGTCAGGGAAGCTCGTCTTTCTGTTTGCACTTCTCCAAAGGCTCAGAGAAGAAGGTCACCGCACGCTTGTCTTTGCTCATTTCAGGAAAGTGCTCGACATCATCGAGCGCATCCTGGGCAACAGAGGCTTCAAAGTATTGCGATTGGATAGCACAATAATTCAGCTTGCAGAGAGAGAAAGGCTAATCACTAAGTTCCAGACAGACAAAAGCTACTCTGTCTTCCTCCTGACCACCCAGGTTGGAGGGGTTGGTATCACTTTGACGGCAGCAAACCGAGTCGTGATCTACGATCCTAGCTGGAACCCAGCAACAGACGCCCAGGCTGTTGACAGGGCTTATCGCATTGGGCAGAGCGAAAATGTCGTCGTTTACAGACTGATCACCTGTGGCACAGTAGAGGAGAAGATCTACAGAAGGCAGGTCTTCAAAGACTGTCTCATTAGACAAAATACCGGGGACAATAAAAACCCTTTTAGGTACTTCAGCAAGCAGGAGTTGAAAGAGCTCTTCCTCCTCGAGGACACAAGGTCCTCATCCACTCAGCTGCAACTTCAATCCCTGCACTCCAGACACCGAAGGACAGATGCTGAACTGGACGAACACATTGCCCAACTCCACACCATGGAGATTTTTGGGATCTCTGACCATGACCTCATGTTTTCCCTCGATGTCAACCACGATGATGACCCTGAAGACCAAGAGGCCCATCACTACATTGAAGGGAGAGTGCAGAAGGCCCAGGAGCTGATGAAGGCTGAGTCAGAGTTACAGATGCAGATGGCAGAAAGTTTGACATTAAACACAGAACCAGCCTGGCTCAGACAACCAGCGGACAACCACATCAGAGAGCGGACTCGTGAGAAAAAACCAAGAAATCCAAAACCAAGTCCTTCCCATCCACAGCATGATAGTAACTCTAACGGGTCACCAGTCATGATGGAGTTGGACCAGTCTGGTTCTGATGAGGAGGACGGCCAACATAATCTGAGAAGCCATGTTATTGATCTTACTGCAGATAAGGGTGTGTCAGAAGAACATCCTTTCGTAGAAGTAAGCCAGAACAAGCTTGTTGAGCAGAACCTTTATTCCCCAAAACACGTGTCTGTTAATCAGGAGAGGAGTTACTCGGTAGCCGATGAATCCCCCTCTCCGGAGGTGATTGAAGAGTTTCTGGTGGTCTCGGATACCAGTGATGCTGAATTAGGTGAAATGGCAGACGAACAACTTTCAAATGAAACTTCACACGCAAGAAACGTTTCCAAGACAGACTTGGGCCTCTCACATTTAACAGCCCTGCAGAATAAAATACTTTCTGTCTTGCAAGCTTCCACTTCAAGCTTCAAAGCAGACACATCATCCAACATCAGCACAGGGCTTGATTCCTTTGGAAGCAACTTCAATGTACAGCTTGAAGATAGTGACATGCTCTCAGACCACGATCAACTGGATAATCTGGAAACTGAAGAAGAGGAGAGGGAGCTGCTGTCACAGCTGCAGATGGAGGGGAGTTTTATCATGAATACATTTCTTCCTGAGAAACAACATAAGAAAGCAGTCAGCCAAAGCTTCAACGGCAACAGCTCTGTAATGGACAATTCAATGGATAATTCCATTGTGACTAAGAAGAATAAAAGAGCAGCAGTAATTGAGTCCAAACAGGAAATGACCAGCAACATGGAGGAGTCGACCAGCGAGCCCGAGCTAGCCTCCGACGAACAAATGGATCAGTGCACGTCTGATGGAGTCAAATTAAGCAGTAACGGCATCCTGTCCGAGGAGGAGAGCTTCGAAGCCCTGGTCAGGAGAGGGAAGGAGTACCAGAGCGAAGGCAAGCCTGTCGACGCATTGAGCTGCTTCCTCAGAGCTATCGACATCCAACCTGGAGATTCTGAAGTTCAGCTCATGACCATCCAACTGTACCGGCAGCAGAGCCAGAGAAGTTAACAAAGCAATCCTGATACGTAAAAAATAAACCTGAACCTTAAATGATACTGTTAGAATAGACAGAGGACAATCTGGACAACAAAACCAAAAGTGTGTCTGTTTTTAAAGACTTCACACAAGGCAACTACAAAGAGAAATACAGAAGTACAAATATTTTAAGTTTGAGTTATTGATTTGTTTTGCTAGCTGGGTTCAGGATAGCATTTATTGAAAAGCACCTGGTTACTATTCCGAGTTTAGGGTTAACTGTTGATTCATATCATATTTAGTGTCCTGCACTTGTTTCTTCCTAAAAGGGTTCAAATCAAAATGTTGCTAGTAAAGTTGTTATATTTCCTATCTAGAAGAAAAATACAGAATATCACTAAACTGATTCTTTAACAGACTGTATATCCATTGATTTAATATAACCGTTGATTTACAAAAAACTATGTTGTAACCTTGTATAAAGTGTCTCTTCCTGAAAGAGCTGAAATTAATATTTCCTAGTAAAGTTGTTTCTAACGGCATGTTCTTTTCTTTGGGGTGGGACTCTGTTGCGGTCCTTATTTCATTGGTTCGAATTCAGTTATTTATCAAACAACTCGATCTTAAAGGATTTTCTGGTTGCAGTAAACCAAAGCAAAATTGGGAATTTGGATAATACAACACATTTCAATATTTTCCTTATTCTATGGCATGCTTGCTGAGTGTCTAGTGTTTATAAAGCATTTATGATAAAACACCACCCAATTCTTTCTCACAGCTTTTTAAGGCAACTTCATTCTTACTCAATATTTCAAGTTACAATTCCTTTTCTGGTCAATAGACCTAATTTACAAAAAATGTATCGTATTTTCGTTTAAAAAAAGGCAAACATTTTGAATATTTCATTCTGACCATAGTTAGAACCGAGGAAAAAAAGGAAAATATGATGCTTCATCTTCATGAGTACAAAATAGCAGGGGCAAATGTCAACATATATTTGTTTGTAATCTGAATGACTAATAGAATATTTAAAGGATTCAATTATATTTGTTATCTTGTTGAAAGTACCACTACATTCTACAATGAAGCAGAGTTAACACCAGGATATTTGCTTTTATGTCTCACACAGAAAAAGTAAAGAATAAATAATAGAGGCTAATAAAAAGATATACCTTTTGTGGAAGATTACCGTTGTTTTTGACACCACACCTTGCTGTGAGAGGAGCACATCCAAAAAGAAACGTGTTGACTCGTGATCGCTTGGACTTGTTTTACCCAGCTGGGAGAGTTTCACTTTCTGACAGCGGGAAGTGAAGAAAAAAACAAAACTCCTGTCTGTGAGTAAATAGGAAACTCCCCCGTTGCTTCACTTTTGGCCCGAGGTCGTCAATAGTGGGACTTCCAGGTCACAGCTCAGCACAATATCAAAGATGAGACAATTTAGGACATATCCTATCAAATTTGGGAATATTTGACCAACGTTTTTTTATTGTCAGCTGTTGCCAGGCAGTGAAAAGTGTGTAGCTAGTTTTCAGACCTCCCATTGTTGCCGTACATCTCAGATTTTCTCAAAGAATTCCAAATGAAAGTGAAACTAAATGGCAATTCAGGCACACACCATGACATCAAGTCAAATTCCTCGTACGTGTGAACCTACCTGGCAATAAACCCGATTCTGAAATCAGGTATTGTTTTTCCAAATGTACACAGCATTAAGAGCAAGGCTTTTTGTTTTTGAGATATGACGTTTTTAAAATAACAGATTACAAAACAACATTTTACCATCAGGTCCACTCAGTAGATACACTGCAGCTTTAAATGGTAAGAGCCGTTTAATATCCCATTTTGTCTTGTCCATTTTAAATTTGTGCTAAAATGTTAAGTCCAAAAGTGAAATAGAATTGCTAATTACCTTTTTTTTTAAGAGATCTTAAATGTAAATAATGTTATTATTCTTTGTATCTTTTTAACCCTTGTGTTGTGTTCGAAAACTGTTACCGTTTATGGTGTTTGCGGTTCAATTTTGAGACCAGGTGCATGCATTTTGCAAACAATTATTGTTACAGTTGATAAAGGGGGTGGGGGAGGGGTGTCTAAAGTCAAAGATGAATCTTGATTGGGCCAAATTTGACCTCGAGTCACCCAAAACAATGCTGCTGGGTCATGAAGCCTTGTTCCGATAAAAAAACATATATCATATATTTTATAAAAAGTCCAAAGAATAGACGCTGAAATAAAGATTATAAAAAATGTAACTCTAAATTGTTCAAGCTCAAAATTCTATATTGTCACTTAACCCTTAAGTTGTGTTCGGGTCTCCCGCGTGACCCGTTTCAAGTCAAAATTATATTATATGATATATTCGGCAGATGAATTAGGCACAGCCGTATATCGAGCTCTATAGTGTTATTTGATATATAGTTTGAACTTGAGTTGAGGGTAAAAGATTGGAAACAATCCAAGAGAAGGGTGAACATCCACAGCAAAACAGAAAACACAGTACAACTTTTTTTTGTATTTGTTTTTTTTGTTTATATAACAAATAATATGAATATGTGTCTGTACATGTATGTTGTGTATACAGTTTCAGTCACTCCCCAGCAGGTGGAGGAATATACGACATGTTATTAATGTGGGAGCAGTAGAACGTGCAAGAACCCAAACATGATCGCGTCCATGGTCAGAATCAGCCTCACGCCGTACCAGATGGTGAAATCATAAGTCTGCAAACAACAAAGGCATAAATGAGTATGTTGAATTAATTAATTATTTTAAGAAGTAAAACGTTTTTTAATCAGAATAAGAAAATTACATTAAAGAAAACAATAATCACAGACATGACCTTATCCGTCTATGTACATTTTACATTTATGTTCAATTTAACATTTAATATTCCATTCCGTACACACTTAATGTATATATAATATCCTGCTTTAAATGTGTTATGTATATTTTCTACTTTTTTAATGCTATTTTATTTCAATTTGAGATGTTTACATTTTGGATTGTTTATTTATTGGGTTTTAATTTCTCTATATCAGCGGTTCCCAACCTTTTTCAACTCGGCCCACTTAAGAATCAAAACATTTTTCGTGGCCCACATTCAACCGTAAACAATACGGAAGCTAATTAAAGTTCTGATTCAAGTCAATTCAGAACATGTGACAAGTTGTAAATCCAGTAGTAGAGCCGCTGTGAAGGATTGTAATGACCGTTACTAAGGAGGATCGAGAAAGAGAAAGGAAAAGAGGTTAAAAAAAGAAAAATGTTTCCACACAAATCATAATGTTTCGCAAAGTATTTTTGGCGGCAAATATTGAATTTACATTTACACCCTTTAATATTTTATTTGGGCTTTTAGATGAAGACCGCACACAGTTGATAAATACAACTATTCTTCTGACTAAAATACATATTTGTAAAAGTCAATCAAGGAGTAATCTTAATCGAAGGTGTTTGAAGAGTAGATTCAAAATATAAATTATTTTATAAAAAATGATTGCCACAAAAATGAAATGGGAAATAATTAGCTCTGACGAAGAGTGGGATTAAAGGAACAATAAAAATGCTTAGCATGTTGTGTTTGGTGGTATTTGGTTGTCAACCTATTTTTGTTTGTGAAATGTTGAAGTGATCCTACTGACTGTATATTTCTTCTGTTTTTGTTGCCTTGTCTTTTTATGCTGCTGCAATGCAAAAATGTCCCAAATTGGGATCAATAAAGTCAATTATCAATAAATAATTTAATTATTTTAAGGAGAAGTAAAACAAATTATAATCAGAACAAGAAAATTACATTAAAGAAAACAATAATCACAGACATGACCTGTTTATCCGTCAATGAAAATGCATCACTAAAATGCAAACAAAATACATTTTATAATCCTGACAAATTGCACAGCGAATATATCCTTATGCATACGAGTTTTTTTACTTCACATCTATAAAATCTTTGGTTGTTTATCGTTACATCATTCAGTTTTACAGCTTCAAGCAAATGCCAGCATGAACCTTACAGCACACAATTTAAAACTCCTCCTAATTAATATGGTTCACCTTACAAGAAACTGTTAAAAGCTTTAAAATGATACGTAAGGCTGCACATCCCTTTGTTTTTAATAAACACAGAACATGATGTCTGTATACAGCAGGGGTGTCCAAACTACGGCCTGCGGGCCATTTTGAATCGGCTCTCAACAAATTCTGAAAGTACAATGGAATATGGCCCACAAATGAAACTTGTGCTTGTCTTGTATTTTACTTCTTAAAAGTATATGTAAACATATATTACACAGTATTCATGTGTTAATAAGCCCACTTTTAAAATAAATTCAGTCAATTACATTTGAAAACATTTCCTAACAAATCTAACTTGATAAGAAAAAAGCCCAATAACTTATTTGTATAACAAGCGTGAAATAGACCCTTCATATTTCCCCTAATAATAAGCAATCTGAGGCTTCTGTTTTAAGGGATGGGCTGCCAACATAATAAATGAAACCCTATGGAGAGCTGTGTGCTGTTTTGTTTCTTAAAGCATTTTCAAGTAACAAGCTTGACCTACATTTGATTGAGTTTGCTGACTTAAACCTTAGCCTATGAGGCAAAATACCTCTAGTGAGTGGCCCAGCCCTTCGTATATTTTTCTGTATGCGGCCCTCGTGAATAAAGTTTGGACATCCCGGGTTTACAGGAAGCATTTTGAAAAGGCGCTCTTTGGTTGTCCCACCTGTGCAGAGAAGGCAATGATGGCAGCAGTGATTGTCAGCATGGCTCCGATAGTGACGATGACATCGGATGTGCTGTGGAAGCAGGCGATGGTTCCCAACACGTACGCCAAGCTAAAGGTGACAAAAACCTGCAGGCACAACATTCACTTTATTATCTCAAATATCTTCTGAAAAATCTTTTTGGTTGCATAATTTAAAGATCTCCTATCATGCTATTTTTAGGCATATATTATGGGTCTCAGATATATACAAATATATATAAAAACATGTCTATGATGTGTTTAGCTCTAAATACCAAACATATAACATAGACATCCCTCACATCCCTGTTAGTTAAAGAATGGCTGACTCTCAGCTGGCCCCGCCCCCTTTTGAGCACCAGGCACACGTTCTGTGACGAGCTGTCTGCTCTGCTCAGATACAGCTAAATGCTGCCGTGATGAAACGCCATATCATGTTCAAAACCACATCAAGGATTATTTCATTTGGGTTCACAAGGTGAGTTCCTTTTTTTTATTTCCTGCTTTTTTACACAAACTCTCTCCAGTACAGGTTAGCTCTGCCTCTGAGTGTTAGCATGCTTGCTAATGTAAACAAAGACCATATTACGTCGAAAACACGTCAGGCATTGTTTCTGATAGTGACGTTTCTCACTCCCAACTCGTCACATATTGACGATCGGTCAGGGCCCCTTCACGTCACCCTATTACGCACTGGGTAACCCTTGAGCGTCAGTTTTCAACGGGCAGGGCGTCCCATAGCAACCTGGTCTCACCAAAATACGTGAAATGAACACGACTCCTTAACACAGCATTACATGGTGGGGAGTGGACACACATTTCTGCAACGTCCCACAGTGAGCTTAATGTTGTTTTCTACTCTATAAAATCTACTTTATTATGGAGGTATTCCCTATCTTTATTCAAGAGCGTGTTCTTTCAATTTGAGAGCATAATTTATTGATTTCACATTCAGATTTTGTATTTCTTTCAGTCAAACCCTGTCCTTGCGCTTAGATTTATCAGAGCCAAATTACGTGTAAAGAGAGGTTAAATCATTACTACATTTAAGTCTTTCCATAAAAGCGATATTTACTGAGCAGTAAATATACGCTTAGGCGCAGATAGCCTAGTTGACAAGAATATTTAATATTTCAGGAACTTTGACCTCAGGTGTTTCACAATATTTCCTTTTACCTGCAAACTCATGATTAACTGTCCTTGCAGCCTATTATTAAATGTTAAATTTAATCTGTGACAGTATATCTATATTGTGCGAAATGTGTTTCTACGCTCTTTTATTTGTAACACACCAGTCCCAGCATGTTCCACGGGTGACGCTGCCTGATGTCTCGGCTGAAGCTGAGGGTGCTGGTGGCCGCGATGAAGATGATGAGGGAGATGAAGAAGGCAAACAGGTCGTTCTGCTCCACATCACCTCCTCTTGTGATGAACACACACACCACACTGAAGGTGAACAGCGCCTGGACAGTGAGGATGCTGAACACCTGCAGGGAAAGATGAATAAACAAACTTCATTACTACATTTTTGGGTAAAACAGCTATAATTTTGACATTATAGGTTAAAGA